GCAGCCACCGGCGAGGCGGCGAGCGCCGACATGGCGGCTGTGCGTGAGGCGCGTGAGAAAGTGCCGCAGCTTCTGACTCACCTCGGTTACCAACCGCGCGACACTTTCAACTTTGACGAGACTGCGTTGTGGCTCTCTGTGCTGCCGCGTAAGACGTACAGCAACGCGCGCATTCCCGGGCGCAAGGTCTCGAAGGACCGCCTGACGGTGGCTTTTCTCGTCAATGCTGACGGGAGCCACGTCTTCCGGCCGTTGGTCATCAGCAAGGCGCGCCGTCCGCACGACTTCAGGCCGGACTACGACCCGGAAGCTCTGTGCTACTGGCGGCACAACGCGAAAGGCTGGATGACCAGCTCGGTAAGTCACAGGCGCCTGCGTGATTGCGCGCGTGCGTGATTGCTCATTCACATTGCGTTGCTAGTTGAATTTGTATAACATTGCGTGAGTCGATACATCGTAGCGCATTTACCCCCTTCCCCCCACACCCCCCCCTCACCGTCCCCGTCCACCCTCCCTCCACTCCCATCCAACAGTTGTTCACGCATTTCATATCGCAGCTAAATGCCGCGATGTATGCCGAGAGGAGGCACATCGCGGTGCTGCTCGACAATGCAAGCTCCCACATGCTGCGGGACGAGTGCGCGTGGAGCGAAATCGTCTGCGGCATGCGGACCACTTGCCTCAGCAATGTGCGCCTCGTCTTCCTGCCGCCTAACACAACCTCCTACACGCAGCCCCTCGACCAGGGCATGATCGCTACCGCGAAGGCCCGCTATCGCCAGCACTGGCTGCAGGCCTTCACTGCACTGTGGAATGACGACGGCGCAACCAGTGCCGTCGCCCGCTGGCGCCCCAATCTTCGCGACGTGCTCGGTTGGCTCTCCGACGCCTGGATGAGCGTCGGAGCGCGCACCATCCAGAGGTGCTTCTGGCGCACGGGCTGCTTGCCTCTGTCGTGGTCGCTGGAACTCACGCATGTGCATGATGACGATCCCACCCCCCATGCTTACCCCGACATTGAGCTCGACGACGACATCGACAATGTCGGGGAGCTCATATGCGGGCTTGGGCTCGGCGCCGGCGCAATGACCGCCGCCGAGTACGTCGCCATCGACGAGGGCGAGCCGACGTGCGCGGAGGCGGCGGCGGGAACGTCTCCGGATGATGCGGACGTAGGCCTGGTGGCGGAGCTATGGAGGGCGCCGACCACGATGCAGGCCGTGTATGACGACAACGACCCCATCGGACGTGAGGCGCGGCGCACGGCACGGGCGGCCAGCGAGATGCTCATCGGCTACGCGCGCGCCGTGAACGTGACCCCGCGCGACCTGTGCCACCTGTTCGACATCCGGAATCCGGTCATCATTGAGCGCATGGAGCGCGCAAGCCCCGCGCTGGCTATCAGCATGGCCCCGCCGCCCAGGCTTTCGACGAGCCCAACCCCGCCGGAGGAGGCCCAGCATCCGCGGGGCCGTGTGCTGCCTAGCTGGATGACCCAGCCGTCCCGCCGTCAGCAGCTTCTTGACGCCGGGGTTGGCGCCGCGATGGGCGGGTACGTGGAGGCGGCCGAGTGGATGCAGGTGTGAGCTGGAATTTCACAACACTTGATCAGGAGTCGAAGATGGGAGTCGGGGAGTTTTGTTGCAGTTGTAGTTTGATGAAATTGTGCACATAACGGGCACATTTGCAGTACAGGGGATGGTTTCTTCATGGGGGTTAATGTCGATATGGCGGATTATGGTTGGTGCGTCATTGCCTGTCTGTTGTTTCAATCTAAGTTGAACAAAGGTTGTCATTGTTTCCAGGGTGTGTGTTATTATCGTAAGGATTTTTGTAACACACGCTTGTGACAACCAGTGCCATCCGACACTGTTATATTAAAGACAAAATGTGTGGTTACCATATGCGCGATACATGCACGCGCAAAGCCTAACGAAACCCTCTACGAACCGACGAAATGCGGTTTTAGCTTACAGTCCCCCTTCACAAGGCAACCGGGAGGGGCTGTAACGAGCATCAGGTGTACAGCTTATCTACAGTGCAGTACAATCACTCCAACTGGCTATGCTGAAAAAATCTTCCTACTGTATTGTCCTTTAGTGCTGCTTGAGGCAAGCAGCTAATCCATATCACACTCTCTGTTTATGGTAATGTGCTGCTGGAAGGCTGGTCTTTCTGGGGCTGAGAGCTGCTTAACACTGCTGCAGCTGCTGCTGCTACCCCCCCTCCCCACCCCACCCCCCCTATGCCCGCCCTCCCCTCATTCGAGCATCGCCACTGTGGACTCCCCCTCAGCTGCTTCCATCCAGCCCCGTTATATCATATTATTAATCTTCTTTAATCAGCCCAGCTGTGGAAGGAACGACTTGTGAGTCGCTTCGTCTCTGAAAGCTCGCTTATTTGAGCAGCCCAGATGAAGGGTACAGAGGGCTGCCGACGCTGCTGCTGTTGCTGCTGATTTCTGTTCCGTTAACCCCAACCGTGCCCACACTCTCACTTGTCCCGCTGCCGCTGCTGCTCGTGCTGTTGCCGTTGCTGCTGCTGTTGCCACTGCTGTTGCCCGCTGCAGGAGTGGGAGGAGGGTCAGGTCCTGCGATCTGCGGCTTGGCCGTTCTCTTCCTCTTGCGTTTCACATAATAAGTCGTTGGATTCGTGAGCCCTTGCTTGCAAACCTGGTATGCTGACAACGGGTCTGGCCCGTATCCATTCTCGCAGAAGCATTTCACGGCTTGCGCCTTGGGCGGACCGGAGGACCACACGCAGAGCCCCGCTCCCCCGCACTGCGTCTTCCCCGCGCGCAGGCTGCGCTCGGTGCGGCAGAACCCCGCGCACGTGTCCGCGGTGCGCTGCTGAGCGCCCCCCTTGCAATTGGCGGATCCCGAGAAGCAATTGCCCCCGTACATCGCGCGCTGGCGCACGTCCGCGGAGGCGGAAGGACAGGCCGCCGTGCTTCCGCCGCTGCCTCCGCCGCCGCTGGTGGTGTTCGTGCTCGCAGTCAGCTTGAACCGGGGCAGACCGTAAAAGAAATTATTCCTGAGATCCAGCGACCCGTATTCAGCGTCGAGCGGCATCGCGGGCAGCCCGGCAGTGGTGCCCGTGAACAAATTGTTCGCGAGCGAAAACTGGCGAATGCTTCGCATGCCGTTGCGAAAGGACGTTGGAATCAACCCGCTGAGCTTGTTCCCCGCGACGCTGAACCGCTTCAACTGATTCAACTTCGCCAGGCTCCCGGGAAGCGATCCTTCCAGCAGGTTCCCGTCGAGTAAGAGCAGCTGCAGCGCGCCGAGCTTGCCCAGCGCTGCGGGGATTTTTCCGCTGAGCCGGTTCCGCCCCAGGTCGAGGAACTGGAGGGCTCGGAGGCGCGCGAAGGCCTGCGGAATTGGTCCGGTTAGCTGGTTGTTTCCTAGTTGGAGGGTTAGTAGGTTCGGTAGGAGCGCGAGTTGCGGCGGTATGGGTCCCCAGAGCGCGTTTTTGGAGAGGTCGAGGTAGTTTAGGGTGGTTAGGTTGGCGAGTTGTTTCGGGATGGTTCCGCGAACGTTGGCAGACATGAGCATGATCTGCAGCACCTCGCCACGTGGCGAGCACGTGACGCCGTACCACATGTTGCAGGGCGTTTCCGCCTTCCACGTGTTGGCGCCGTCGAAACTGCCGCCCAGCGCGGACTTGACGGCCATCATGACGGCTAGCTGGGACTTGACGATTGGCGGGTACTTCTGCGCGGCTGCATACCGCAATGGGCCCGCGAGGAGAAGGATGGAAAGAAGCAGGAGCACAGTGGAAAGAGTGGAGGGAACAGGAAATGGGTGATATCGGCAGGATTTCAGGGCAGCACGTGGCAGAAGGTGTCGATACGAGCCGTGACGCAGTGATATTCGAGAAGGCGACAAAGCTAGATAGAAGCAACGTAACGAGCGTGGAACAGACTGGTCGGGAAACATGATGGCTGCTTCTTCTCTGGTGAGCTTCTCGTATTCCTGCTGTACTACGTGCTGATGGTGGACCGCACTGGTAATAAAGTGAGAGTCGACTCTAGATTCCGCGGGCCAGTACGGAAATATCACGAAGTTGCGGACGTGACTATCCCTTGAGGGAAAGGGGGACGACTCTGGACTGGCAACACAACACCTTGTGGATGGGTGGGTGAGAAGGCCGATAATATTCCTGTAAAAAGGAAAGACGGTATTCTTGTCTACTCTAGCGTGTCTCGTGGCCGACAATCTTAGGCTAGCCCACCATTCTGAGACGCTGTGAAGATGGCCGCCCGCTGGTCAAGTACGGCGCGTTAAAATGCGAGGGGTGCCGAGCAAGCCGAGTTACCTGAGTTACGTGGTGCTGGTTCTGGGCGCGAGATAGTAGGCACTACGAAAATCATGGCCGTGATGCAGACAAATCAATTTAGTTTCAAGACTTCCATACCATTTCCATGTTTGGGAATTCCAGCGCAAACCAGCGAGAACGCAGGTAACCCAACTCAACCGAAGCCAGCCCATGGATATATTTTTATCTGCAAGTGTGTCGCGCGCGCGCGACCAATTTTCCACAACCTCAAAGTTGACCCGTTGCTGGAGCAGGCGCACAAGAGAGCGGGGCGGGAGTGGGCAAGAATTCCCAATCTCCTTTCGAGCCAAGCACGCGCCAAATCGAAAGAGAGCGCGCATCGCAGATTGTATGACTGTCACCAACGCTCAGAGCGGGCTGGCGAAAAAACAAGGACGGAATTTCCACGTAGCGCGACATACGGTATACGAAATTTCTCAGTGATAAGATAAAAGGAGGAAAATAAACAAATTAGTCAAGAGCTTCTAGCTACAGTCTTCAAGCATATGAACTTCTAGGTATTGTTTTCGGTATGCCCAAGTTTGACAATCGCCTTCAACAAATAAGGCTGTGAAAATTCAAGAGCCCTTGAGTCTAATACTGTATTATGGAGACTAAACACAGTGCCATCAGTTACTGAATGTACGAGGTTGTCCGGTCATGGAGGAGTATTTAGAGAAGCTTCACATGACTTCATCCACAGCAATGGCAGCGGAAGCAGCAGCAGGAGGGGCAGCATCAGCAGCGAGCGAGGCAATGAGAGGAGGCACTTGGGAGAGGACGCCATTGAGAGAGAGCGAGTCAAAGTGGAAGAGGTTGTTCATGGGCTGCCCCTTGCGCGATATCGCCCTCACCACCTCCTGCTCAGGGAGTCCAGCGTGTGTGTGGGCAGCAGCGGTAGGGAAAGCATGCTGCAGGGATCAAGACCAGGGCAGCATTCTGCGTACGCACGAGTGGGTGCAAGTGTGTGTGCATCCGTGTGCGCACGTGCGTGCGTGCGTGTTTGTCTGTTGTGAATGCATACGTTCACGTGCATGTGAGAAGGGGGAAGGGGATGCTGACACATGCTTCAGCTCCACAAAAGACAAAAGCGATGAGCGATTAGGGATTCAAAGACCGTGAATCAAATACACACAGTGATCACTGCTGGCTTTTCACCATCACTTAAAAGAACTCTTAAAAGAGACCTCGGATGCACCTGAGCGGCACGAGCACATGCACACGCACACACCTGAGCAGCGATGCCCCCCACAATGGCGGCAACAGCAGGGACCTCCGAGGCCCCTGCAGCGGCCATGAGGCGGATCAGGCGCTTCACATGGGGCTCATGCAGGCGATGGCACGCCTGGGCGGGGGGAAGGGGAGGGGAGGGACGGGAAGGGAGGGGAGGTTCCAGTCGACTTGAAAACTGCGGCAGCCATGAGGCGAATCAGGCGCTTCACATGGGGCTCATGCAGGCGATGGCACACCTGGGCGGGAGGAGGGGAGGGGAGGGAGGAAAGACAGTGTAGGGAAAGAAGAGGTGAGGAGGAGGTAAGGGGAAGGAGGGGCAAAGAAGAGGAGAACGAAAGGGGGCGGTGAAAGGGGTGAGGGATAACTAGGGGTAGGCGTAGGTGGGGATTAGGGGTAGGGGGGTACGACTAGCGGTAGAGGGTAGCAACAGGAGTAGGGGTAGGATTACGAAAGGGTAGAGAGCACAGCTCATTAGAAGTCACACACGCTCATTTGAGGACACACGGCGAATGCATGCGATGGGCTAACACAAAGCAAGCAAGAATGCGAGGAGGGGAGCGGGAGGTGGTGCAGCGCAGGAGAGGAGACTCACGGGTGAGCCTTGGCCCTTGTCGTGTGCGAGCGCCAGCACCCCCTCCACACTCGCCTCGTCGTATGCCTGGCCTGCTGCGCGCTTCTCCCGCGCGTCATAGTCCTCCATGGCTGCTCATGGCAGTTCCACGCAGGATTGCAATACACATAAGGGGGACGGTGGGGGGGAGTTTTGAGATGTAAAGTGTGGGACTGGTTGAGTAGTGGTATAATGAACCAAACAGAGGAATGGAATTGAGTGAAAGAAGAGCGAGAGTGGATGTGTGAGATGGTATGGCACGGCATGGCACAGCGCCGAACAGGAAGGAATGACATGAGATGAGATGACGTGTTACCAGGGGAGACAGAAGCTCTCCCTCTCACCTTGAAACGCGAAGTGAGATGGTGGGGTGTGCTTGGGAAGCTTCGTCCACGGAGTTGAAACCACCTCCTGATATTGCTCATGTCATACCAGAAAGCAAGCGCAAGGAGTAGATGGGTTTGCTCGCAGGCCCCAATAAGAAATGCAAGGGAACGGGAACGTATGACTGCAAGAGAGAAAAAAAAAAATGCAGTGCGGGAAGAGAGAGAGAGGACCATATAGGCTTTCATATAGGCTCTCCTTGCACTTGTCTGTACTTCAAGTTCTACATCAATGAAAGGGCCATTTGAGAAGAAGAAGCGAGAGGAGTGGTGGATGGGCGAGCAGTGGGAGAAGATGAGGATGAGAGGATGAGGAGGAACACCTTGAGTGATGGATATGAGATGTGCAGTGCAACGTGCTCATCCTGCTTCTGGTACTGTTGGTGCCAGGCCAGGGCAGGGGGGGTAGAAGGGTGGGATGCGAGAGGGGTAAAAGGTGAGTGAGGTCAGTGATGATGATGCGGCCACACGTGCTCTGCATCGCCATGTAGAGTCACAACAGCCACACAATAAAGTATTCACTCAACAGCCAGCCAGCCAGCCATCCAGCCAGCCAGCCAGCCAGCCAGCCAGCCGACAGCCAGCCAGCCAGCCGAAAGCCATCCGCCACCATTCAGTGGAGCATGAGCACCCACCCACCATGCAGTCGTGTTCAGAGAGGTCGGCGATGATGCGACCGCAGGGACTCCGCACTGCCATGTAGAGTCGACTACAGCGAACTAAAACATCAATTAACTGCCAGCCATCAGCCACCAATCGGTGGAGCATGAGCACCCACCCACCATGCAGTCGTGTTCAGAGAGGTCGGCGATGATGCGGCCACACGGGCCCCGCACTGCCATGTAGAACAGGGCCGCTGGCGCCGGCTGCCTTGCTCTGCACGCTGCGTCGATGCGCTCCTGACAACGTGGGCAGGTTGGTGGGACAAGAGGCGGTGGGGGAGGGGAGGAAGGGCGTGGGATGGAGGGACGGCTTTTGAGGCGCCTCGAAAGTGCTCTGCTCTGCATGCCGCATCGATGTGCTCCTGAGTCCTGACTGAGTCCTGACTGAGTCCTGACCCTGTGGATGGGTTGCAGGGATGCACTTTTGTGGGGGGGAGGAAGGGGCGCCTTTGGAGGGACGGTGGAGGGGAGGAGAGGGTGTGCGTGCGTTGGAGGGACGAGGGGGCGCCCTGTTGGACTGGGCTGGACTGGACCTAGGTGCTTGCTGTGCTGTGGCGCAAACTCCTCAGTACTGACATGATAATGCATGTCGCTTGCGAACGAGACACGGTGCACACCCAGGTGCACGCTACGCAAGGTGCATTCACTCAGCTATTCAGTTCAACTGCTCGTGGTGGCGATGATCGCAGGTAAGTCACAGTACCTGCATGTGCTGATCGCAGCACGTGAGGAGTACCATGTGTATGTCGTCTATGGGTAGGCCTAGCGATGGCAGGGATGATGCTTTGAGTCGACTCAAAAGTCAACTCGGTGGTGTTAATGATCACGGGTACTCGGTGGTGTTAATGATCACGGGTACTCGGGTAAGTCATGGTACCTGCATATGCTGGTTGCATGATGTGAGGAGGACCGCGTCTATGTCATCCATGGGTAGGCCTAGCGATGGCAGGGATGATGCTGCCATGGCCTCCAAACTCCCTGCTCACATGCAGATGTGTGTACAAGCACACTTGCGTACATGCATGCATGCATGCAGCCACACACACATACACTCATGCACACATGTGTGCATGCATGCACGCATGGAATGCAAACATTGACACATGTACTCACGCACAGAATGTGTGAACTCACGAATGCACACAAGCAGTCATGCATACATGAACATGCCAACCAAGTCGACAAAGGGAAGGCACCACACACAAAGATGGAAGGAGCACGAACTTACACACGCTCAAAGTGAAATCATAAGTCAAATCGCACGGACCCCACTGTGGCACGCGCATATGGGGTTGAGTGAGAGGGAAAGTGGAGGAGGAAGAGAGAGCAACAGCGGTGGCAGCAGAAGCAAGCAGCAACCATCTCAGGGTAAAGCTTCAACATGAGGTAGTAGCATGTTAGCCAGGCAAACACTAATCCGCAGGCATGCCTGAGCAACATAATGGCTCATCAGTCGGTGGATGTTTGCCCCTTACATAGCCCTCTAGTAATCCACAGTCACCCACTGCCACACAGCACCGCTCACCAAGAACTGTTTTAACCGTCACAAACTGGTTAAACTCAAGGTGACTTTAGAGTGAACTCAAAAGCCCCACCGCTGCACAGCACCACCCCGCACTCACCAGGAACTGTTTTAACCGTCACAAACGGGTTGAACTCCTGCAGAGCTTTTGCACATGCCTGCGCCACTGACATCCCATCCCTCTCTGTCCCCTCCGCATCGCCTCCTTCTCCTCCTCCCCCTGCTATTGCCCCTGATCCTGCCGCTGACGCTTCTTCTCCTGCTGCCACAGCTGCTGCTGCTGGGGGAGAAGCTGAGGAGAAGCGGAGGAGGAAGTTACCGTCCATTTCGGCTTGTGTGGGGGGCAGACCAGGGTCCAGGAGAGTGAGTGAGCCCACGCCGGCCAGAACCAAGTTCTTGCACGTCTGGTTAAGGGTGGTGGCGGGATTGAGGGACGAGGGAAGGAGTTATGGAGGGTGGGAGGGGAAAAGGGAAGACGGATGTTGTTGTGATGCAAGTGGTTGAGAGGTAGGTGGTTGGGAACAAGGAGCTGAAAATGCGGAGGCCGAAAATGCGGAGGACAACTTGGGTGTGTGGGGAGTGGATAGGCGAGAGTCAGAAAAAAAGGAGGGGAGAATGAAGTTGAGTGAATGATTGCTCCTCCCGCTCTTCTCTCCCACTCCACCTGTCCCTCCTACCTCTCTGGCGATCACGATTTATGCCCCATTCCTTAACGGGATTGTCTGAACATTCTCTGCCCCAGCCCCCCCTCAACTCACCTCTGCCATGACAGCAGACATGCCGATCACCAGCAGCCGAGCAGAGCCGATCCTGTGACGACAGGGAAGGAAGCGAGAGAGGAGGGGCAATGCGCACTCATAAGACCATCCCAGCACGAAACAGTACGTGTGTTCCAAGTTGCCATCGACTCGAACCAGGTCGATGATCAATGCACGCCCGTCGGACCATTTGCGCAGCGGACGCAACTAGCAGAAGCAAGATCTCGCTCGCGAGAAAACGAGCAGCGAGCAGCGGGCAGCATGAGCCACACCTTTGTTGGGCCTCCACTCCCCACATCCGGATCTGCCGGTCATACACCGCTGCCTCCTGCTCCGACAACATGATGCGTTCCCGCTCTGTGGCAACCCGTGGGATGGAGAGTTGTGAAATATAGCTGCACGGCTCTCGAGATCAGCTGCAGGATTCGTGACTTGCTATGTGCTATCGGGTCCGTCCCTTCAGACGAACAAAATCGTGAGAGTTACTAGTATCGGAAGGTGTGGAGCGAGCCATTACAATGCAATCTCGTTTTTTCGGTTGTGCCTGACATCTGCAACGTTTCATCAACGCTCGTTAAAAGTAGACATAGTAGTGCCTGGTGTACAGCTTTTGAAAAAGCAAGGATCATTACAACGTTTGCAATTGTTGGAAAATGAAGAGCATGACGCCTAGTTCAAATCTATCTGTAGTGTAAGGAAGCCTAGAACTTGACCCTGTACGCTCATGTCCACACCATATCATGCAACTGTACTGAAAACCAGAAACCCACAATACCACCCCGTCTTCTGCAGCAGCTCTGCACAATCAAGCTGGTCATTCTTCCTAGCATGAGCACGTGGCCGCAGCCACCTTGTCTGCTGCACTCTGACTCGAGGCTGACGTGAGCTTGACATCCACCAAGTCCTCCTGCTGCTTTGTGGCTGACAGTGCCTCCATGCCTGGCAAAGCAGCTGCAATCTTACGAAACAGAGCCTGAAGGGATGTAGAGGACAAGAGGACATGATGCAAAGCAGAAGGCAATGGGCGCGATGAGATGGCATGAGGACAGGAAATGGGATACATGATGATGATCATGCATAGGCGAGGGAAAGGAAAGGAGTTGAGCTCGGAGAGAGGGCAGGCAGCAAGGGGAAAATGGAGAAGAGGGGCGGAATCGAGGGTTTAGTGTATGGACGTTTGAAAAAAGTCAACAGCATTGGCTCCTTCAATACCTTGATGTTAAAGCCCGCCTTTGCACTGGTCTCAATGAACATGACATTCAAATCACGCGCCTTGGCTTCTCCCTCCTCAATAGACACTTGTCTGTCATACAGTGGACACAACATTGGAACAAAGAATGAGAGCTATGCGAATTGAAGCAGCAAAGAAACGTGGAAGCAACCAACTTCAGCAAAAATGTTACTAACAAAGGAAACCCAGGTCAACGCTTATCAATCGTACCTCTTATCAACAAGATCTGTCTTATTCCCAACCTGCGAGGACCAAAACAAACAAGTTGGTACCAATCAGGTAAGTCATGGACACGGTAGCACGTGCACCTCGAACCTAATGAAATGCGGATCAAGCTTCAACGCAGACTATTGGACAGCTTCTGATAATCACAACCTTGCGCTGTTCTTTATCTGTTTCGATTGCTTGTGTACAACGTGCCAGCACGTTTCCGACAGACGCAGATGCAAGTACGAAAGGCGTAGAACGTGGGAAAAGGTGCACTAACCAGCATGATAATGACGTCACTACCCCGCTCTGTGCGAACCTCTTCCACCCACCGAGCTGTGTTCAGGAATGAAGCGCGATCTGCAGTAAGCAGTAAGAGAAGAAACACAGAAAACATCATTGAACTTGCTCACGATCCGCCAGGACGAGCAACAGGTGAAGAATTTACACAACAAACTCCTTACTTGTCACATCATAGACGACAACAGCGACAGAAGAATCGCGAATGTAGCTGGGAATTAGACTGCGAAACCTTTCTTGCCCCGCTGTATCCCTGTAAACGCGAACAGACAGGTTAAGTTAATAAAGAACAAGATACAGCTGAACGGCGACGATAAGATTGAAAGTGAAGCGCATTCAATCTACATACCATAGCTGCAACCGCACCGTCCGGTCTTCAAGGTACATCGTCTTGGACAAGAAGTCGATTCCAATAGTGGCCTGTCATTTACGTAGAATATGAACCATCTCAGTCATACAGCACGAGCAGAATATCTACCCACGACAAAAAAGAAGAATAAAACAACCCAGTAGCCGCAGATCAACGACAAATCACTGTCTAATTTCACGCACAACGCTTTACTTGCACTACTAGTCTTGCACGCGACGTTTATTCCTTGCTTTTCCTTGTTTGCCATTTAATACCCCAAGTCTATGTTCTTTAGGACTTCAGGCGTGGTCACTATAGACCTCGGGAGTTGCCTTCTGGTGTCTTTGACACGCGACCAGATAAGGTACAAATGAACACTCGCTCACCTGATACGTGTTATCGAACTTGTCGTACATAAAACGTGTAATGATGCTTGTTTTCCCAACGGACTGATCTCCAAGGAACACTAGCTTGTACTTCGCCAACGGCGAAACGGCTGCCGCGGCTCCCCCACCTGATGCCATTTCTCAAGCTGTGACTAAAACAAACACAGGAACTAACGGAAGACGACGACGGTGAACTCGACGAGATTGCACTAGAAAATTCCCGACTCGGCTGCTGGGGAACAGCTACACTGTGCAACCAGACTCTTGAATTTGGCCTCTAATAGGAGGATCAGAGCCTAGAAGTCTGGAGATGGACATGCAAAAAAAGTCCCCAGCAGATCTGAAGTGAAGGCTTGCTGGCTTGGAGGGGAGATGGACTGTCTGAGAATGGGAGACGTGAGCTCGCGATTCTAAACGAAAAGGAACGATTTGTTCTGACGGACGACAGGGTTACTGGCAGGAAAAGATGCCAGCCCCGATTTGATGGGGACGGAAGGGAGGGGAGGTTTCGCATCATCGTAGGTTGACGGAAGCTTCTCCCAGCTGGACAAACCGTTGGCGGGAGTCTGGTGCGACAAGAGCTGTGTACAGTAATGTACTGACTAGGGTCGCACAGACTCGTAGGCGGGGGAGGGAGGTGACCGGAGGCTACCATGCGCCCAGGGACCCTTCTGAGCGAGCGGTGGGCGAACGGTGATGGCTTTCGGAGCTTTATGATTGGTCGGTTTGCGTCAAACTTCGACTTCCGAAGCCTAGGGAAGAGTCGACCTGTGTCGGGCCTCCTGCGACTGTTGAATGGCCAATAGCGACTGAAGGAGAACGACTTATTGCCGGCATTCTCCTTGCTAACCATACTACACAACATTCAGCTAATTAGTATGGAACCATACACAACACTCAGTAGATAAATAAAACCACACACAAAACTCCACCCTAACGCCAAGTTGTATTGGGGTCCTAATAAGTTCCTGGACTCATACATATGAATTCGTTTTAGAAATGGATATGGTGACGTTGCAGATTGCCATAGTGTTCTTGAGGCCCACGTATGGCCATTGGGTCATAGTGAGGAGGCGGCAAGTTGTGTTGTAGGTTGTTGCGTCCTCTGTCCCTTGCACCCAGTGACTGCCGCCCATGAGCAGAAAATTCTCCTGGTCCAGGATAATCAGCGTGCATATGAGATGGAACAGGTGGGAACTCCTGGCCGACAGGCGAAGGCACAAGAAACCTCTCAGCACCGGGATGACTGTTGACAGCAGCAGCCATGGCAGCTTGAACAGGGATCCCAAGAGCCATACCAGGAGCCATACCAGAGAAACTCTCACATGGACCCAAGCGGCTCATGTGCCCCGCGGCAAGTGACGCATGCCCATGGTGAGGGGTGGTGTGGGGAGGAAGAGTGGCAGTGTGATGAAACGATTGGAATGGAAGCTGTTGCTGATGAAGCATGCTTGAAAAATGAGGATTAGGAGCAGGAGGAGGATGTTGGGTATGAGCGGGAACAGACGGAGCAGGATGCCAGCTGTGACCTGGGTAGAAATTCATTCCGTGGTGAAATGAAGGCGGGACTGGGAGAGGGGTCCCATGGAGGGCGTTGGAGGATAAGCCGTGGTTATGTGGCTGCATCGCATGCGCCCTGCTATCATGGCTCGCTGCCATGGTCCACCCTGCTGCTGTTGATGCCGATGGTGCTGGTGCCACTGAAGGTGCTGATGCTGATGGTGCTGCAGCTGCCACTGCCACTGATGGGGGTGCTGCTGACGGTGAAGGTGCAGCTGGTGTCGCTGTCACTGATGGTGCTGATGGTGCTGCCGCCACTCCTGCTGCTACCGCTGCTGCTGCTCCTGCTGTGACCACAGGTGGTGCTTCTGCTGCTCCCGCAATTACCGGCACCCCCATTCGCTCTGCATTAGCATCTCCTCTGCTTCTAACGGGCTCAGTCCTCTCATCCCAGTCTACCCTATCACCACCCTCCCGTCTTCCACTTTCCCCTCTGCTCACCTGCAACCCCCTTCCCTCCTCATTCTCCCCTCCACCCCCCTCGCTATCATTTACTCCACGATCAATAGGCGCCTTCATTCCCATCCCCTCTCCGCCTTTCTTCCCCTCTTGCCCTTCTGTGCATCGCCCTCCGCTCCTGCTTTCCGTCATCCCTTCTTCTACATTCACATCCACTTTCCCAACCTTCACCCTTTTTGCCTTCTCCCCTTCACCCTTTGCACAACCACTACCCAAGATACCCGCCTGCTCTCCTGTCACTCCTCCCTTCCTTTCCCTTCTCCTTCTTCTCCGCTCCTGTCTCCTTGACACCTTTGCTTTCATCGCCTCGCCCTCTCCCTCCTGAAGCCCCTCCCTTTCAACATCCATCCGCTCCTCTCCTCCACCACCACTGCCTTCTCTTCTCCCATCACACTCCCCCAACACTTGCCCTCTTCTTTCCTTCCCTGTACCCGCATCTCTCACCATCGCGCCATCCTGCAGGTCACTGCTACCACCAACCCTAACAACTCCCTCATTATCTGCACCCTCATCCATTCGCTCTTTCCCCTTCCTTCTCTTCCTTCTCTTCCTTCTCTTTTCCCCCTCCACCGGTCCCTCTCCCCCTCTAATCTGCTTCACAGCAGCATCACCAGACACTCCTTCCGCACTCAAGCCCTTCTTATCTTTCTTCCCAACCACCACCTCCACATGTCCCTTTCCTCCTACAGCATTCTCCTCCCCACGCTCAACAACCCCCTCTCCTGCCCGTACCACCCCCTTCTTTCTGTCCTTTCCTCTCCTCTTCCTCTTCGCCTCCTTTTTCTTGGACCGTGCCTCCTCCAACCCCTCGTCACTCCGCCGCACCTCATCATTCCTGATCTTCTGATTCCCAGTTTCTTCCTCTTCCTGCTTTTCCTCCTCTTCCTCCTCCTCTTCCTCTTCCTCCCCCTCCTTTCTCCGCACCTTATTTCTCTGCTCCTTTTTCTTCCCCTGCACATTTTCCTCCTCTTCACTGCTACCTTCTTGTTCCTTGCGACCCTTCTTACTCTTTGAACGTGACTTAACCACCTCTGCCTCTGCCTCTGCCTCTGCCTCTGCCTCTGCCTCTGCCTCTTCCTCTGCCTCTACCTCTGCCTCTTCCTCTTGGTCCTCCTCCCCATTATCCTCCCCCTCTTCCTCCTCCGCCCTCCCCTCCTCCTCCTCCTCCTCCTCCTCCTCCTCCTCCTCCTCCTCCTCCTCCTCCTCCTCCTCCTCCTCCTCCTCCTCCTCCTCCTCCTCCTCCTCCTCCTCCTCCTCCTCCTCCTCCTTCCTGCGCCTTGTTTCCGTACAAACTTGAACCTCCTCCTTCTCCTCCTCCTCCTTCTCTTCCTCCTCCTCTTCCTCCTTTTCCTTCTCCTCCTCCTCCTCCTCCTCCTCCTCCTCCTCCTCCTCCTCCTCCTCCTCCTCCTCCTCCTCCTCCTCCTCCTCCTCCTCCTCCTCCTCCTCCTCCTCCTCCTCCTCCTCCTCCTCCTCCTCCTCCTCTTTCTCCTCCTCCTCCTCTTCCCCCTCCTCCTCCTTACTTCTCACCTTCTTTCTCTGCTTCTTTTCCTTGCTCTGCCCAATCCGGACTACGTTGAGTACCTTACGAGCTAAGCCACCTTCCTTCTCTTCCTCTTCCTCTTCCTCCTCTTCCTCCTCCTCTTCCTCCTCTTCCCCCTCCTCTTCCTCCTCCTCTTCCTCCTCTTCCTCCTCCTCTTCCTCCTCTTTCTCGTCCTCCTCTTCCTTCTCTTCCTCTTCCTCGTCCTCCTCCTCCTCTTCCTCATCAGGAAAAGCTAGTCCCGACACAACAATGCTACTAGCGTTGGACGGCCCTGGCAAGGATATGGCAGCAGCAGCATCGCCAGAGTTGGCAGCATCAGCATTAGCAGCGGCATCAGCAGCAGCAGCAGCAGCAGCATCAGCAGCATCAGCAGCAGCATCAGCAGCGGCATCAGCAGCGGCATCAGCAGCGGCATCGTCTCCCAAGCCTGCAGCGTCGTCCTTGGGTACTAGTTCCAAACCCTTTGCACCGTTTTCTCTCCTAGTTGTCCCCATAAACTCATCCTCACTCTCACTCTCACTCGCACTGCTTTCCCCATTGCAGTCACTGCTGCCTTCTTCCTCCCCATCATCTTCCAGTTGATCAGTTTTCTTAACTTCCTCGTCGCCCTCTGCTCCGTCTAACTCCTTATTCTCCGATCCCTCTGCTCTCTCATAGCTCTTTTCTCCATTCTCTCCCTGCACTCCCCGCCCATGCATGTCACCCATCATCCCATCTTCTCCCAACGCCCCTCCCCCTGACTCATCTCCTGCCCAAATCCCACTACCACCACCCACTCCACTCCCCCCACCCGTGTCAAAGCCCCCAACTGCACTATCCCAATCACCACCACTAACTCCCATCTCCCCCGCTCCTCCCTCCTCTTGCACCCCCTCCCTCCCGTGTCCAACAACCCCCTCCCGCCTTCCACTGCCAATCCTTCCAACTCCTCCCCTCCTCGCACGATACTCTCCCTCACTACCGTTCCCTCCTCCCTCCTCAGCCTCCCCTCTTCCCCGTTTCCCTCCTCTTCCACCTTTCCCTCTTCTCACCCCCTTCCCTCCTCTCCTCCTCCCCGTCCCTCCTCTCCTCGCCATCCCATCGCGCACGTCCACGCTTAGCTGCTCACCGGCCATGGCAAGCAGATCGCTGCCCTCCTTGCTCTCCCGCATCATAGCCACCACCTGCCGGCTCACAGCGCAGTGCACCCGCCCATCGCACCCCACCACCATCCACGACCTATCCTCCTCCTTTTCCACCTGCTCGTCCTCTGCCACCCACACCACATTGCTGCTCGCATTGTCGCCACCTGTCGCTTCTCGCTTCTTTCCCCTCTGCACCATTTGGATTTGATCATCACTCCCACTGTCAGTGTTTTCATCCTCATCCTCCACTCCTTCACCATCCCCCTGCTCTTCACCTCCCACCTCCTCCTCTTCCTCTTCCTCTTCCTCCTCCTCATCCTCGTCACCATCAGCACCACCTACCTGACCAGGCAGCCGCAGCAGCAGGTATCGGATCTCCGGCTTACCCTTGTCATCTTTGCCCGCCTCCACTCGCCCCACATGGTACAGCCCCGCATACATGAAGCTACACTTCAATGTATCTGCCTTCTCTGCTTTCTCCACTGCACTAGATGCCACGGCAGTGCCGCTTCCTCGGCTCCTTCGGGCTCTTGTGTTGCGCAGATGCCATTGCTGCTTCTCTTGCTGCCACTGCTGCTGCAGCTGCTGTAGCTGTCTGGAACTGCAGCCTGGTACATGGTGGTGCTGAGCGTCCGCAGATCGCCCCTGCCACTCCCCCTCCAGAACCACGCGCACAGGCAGTCCTGCAATGGCACTGTGCAGCAGACTCATGTTATACTTGAGGTTCAGCCGGTTCTCACGTGTCCTGTCACTGCCACTGCCAGCCCCGGGATACTTGAACCACATGGCATCATACGCAGCAGCAGCAGCCTCATTCCCCTCCCCATTCCCACTATCTCCATCACTATCCCGTTCCATGTCCTCAGAATCCGTCTCATCCTCCTCTGCCTCCTCGCTTGCGTCCCCCCCGCCCTCATCTTCCTCTCGTGACTTGCGTTTCCTTGTCTTGATCTTCTTACTCGTGCTCCGTTGCGGCTGCTGCTGCTGCTGCTTCAGTTGCCGCTCCTGCTGCTGCTTTCGTTGCTGCTGCCCTGTTGATCTCTTACCCCATCCCTGCAAGCCCCAAGAGACCTCATCATCACCACCACCACCACCACCACCACAAAGACCATCACCACTAGCACCCTCCACCTTATACACAATGCACGTTGCCACAGGCACTCCTCCTTTCACAGCCTTACCTCCTCCCCCGCGCACTCCCCTTTTCACTACTCTCCTTCCATCTTCCCCTCCCCCTCCCCTTCCTATCCCCCCACTGCCCCCCATAGCCCAGCTCTTCGCCAGGATCCAGTCCACCAGGCCAGTGATCTTGCCATTCACCCCTAGCACCTGCATCTCCTCCCGCCACGCGAACCGCATCCCCACAAACAACCCCGGCACGTGCCCCAACCCACACACGCTTGCACGCTCTTTCATCCACAGCACCACCTGCGGGTCCTGCCGCGCACTGCTCCACATATCCGCACGGTTGACCTTCCCCTCCTCCACGCCCCTGTTCACAAACCTCTTCAGCGTCAACAGCAGCCCCTGCTGCATCGCCCTCAACCTCTCCCTCGCCGTTTCTTCCTCTTTCTCACTTTCATCCCTCTCTCCATCGCTTCCTGGAGCGCACCGGCCACCGGCTCGCAGTGTGTACTGCTGCCGCTGCGCTGTTCTCGGCAGTGGCCGGACAGGGTAGGCCAATCGCTCACTCAGGTCCGGCAGGGGAGAGCGGATGCGCACAGGGATGAGCTTGCGGGGGGGCAGGGGAGGAGCAGCAGCCGAGGAGAGTGCCGGGTCTGAAACCATGGTGGTGTGCGGCACACCTGTCTGCGGTGCGGTGGTGTGGGGTGTGGTGGTGTGCGGTGAGCGTGCATCAACTCCTGCTTCCTCCTGGCCTTCTTCCCCTCCCTCACTCCTCCCTCCATCCCTCCCCTCTTCCCCCACCACCTCCTCCACCTCCCTTTCTCCCTCCTCCATCCGGTCTGCTCCATTCTCGCCCCTGCCCCCCACTGCACCACCACCAGCATCACCACCACCAGCATCAGTGCCGTCCAAACCCCGCAATCTCTCCGTGCCTTCATGCTCCTCGTGCGTGGGCATGGGCATGGGTATGTGCGCCGGCATGTGTGCCGGTGTGTGCGTGGGCATGTGTGTGCTTGTGGTTGCTGTGGGCATGCGTGTAGGAGAGAGTGTGAGAGCATGTGTGTCGGCACTCTCCTCGGAGCTCTGCCTCACCAGCAGCTGCAGTGGGCTTGAGGTCACACGCACCATTGCAAGACTCTGCTCGCTGCCTGCTGCTGCTGCTGCTGCTGCACCTCCTTCTCCCCTTCCCCCTACTCCTGCTGCTGCTACTCCTCCTTCTCCCCTTTCCCCTGCTGCTGCTGCTGCTGCTGCTGCTGCTGCTGCAACTTCGTTTCTTACAGGCCCACCACGTGCAGTTCTCCCCTCCAACTCCTCACCGCTCTCTTCCTCACTCTTCTCCTCCTTGCTCTCCTCATCCTCCTGGCTAGTCTCCTTCGTCCCTGCTTCCATCTCCTCCTCTTCCTCCTCTTCCTCCTCCTCGTCCCCCTCCTCCTTACTTCCATCACTGTCCTCACACTCCTCCTCCCCCACACTCTCACCTAGAGTCACTCGCACATGTGTGTCCCCATGTTGCTCACTCCCTTCACCCTCGCCCTCCTTCTCATCCCTTTCCTCCATTTCTTCCGCTTTCTTCTCTTCCCCCTCTTCCTTCTCCTCCCCTCCTTCCTCCTCTTCATCCCCTTTCTCCTCTTCCCGCTCTTCTGCTTCTTCCCCCTCTTCCATCTCTCCATGCACTTGTTTATGCTCATCCTCATCCTCCCCCTCAACCTCCTCCCCCTCCTCCTCCCCCTCAGCCTCCTCCCCCTCCTCCTTCACCTCCCCTTCCTCACCGTCCCCATCGTCCTCCCTTCCCCTCCCAAAACGGCCAATCACCCCTCCCCCTTCCACCGTCTCAACACCAATCCGCTTCTTCCCACTTCCTTCTCCCCGACGGCCCTCCGTCTTCCCATCCGCACCCCTCCCTAATACACTCTTCCACAGCTTTCGCCGCCTCCTCAATTTCTCCATCCACCTCCACGCACGTGCCCCTCCTTCTCCCGGGACACCCTCCCGTCTCTTCTCTGCCATCGCCCCAACCTCCAACGCTCCGAGTGAAATAGACTCCATCAACTTCTTCATCTCTCTCAAGGACTTCAAGGCAGATTTTTTAGGCTCCTCAGAAATAGACTTCATGGACTCCATGAACTTCAAGGACTCCATGGACTTCAAGGACTCCATGGACTTGTTGATCTCTCTCAAGGCAGACATACGCTCCTCCGTGATCGCTCTCCACGCAGCATCATCAAGAGCCTTTCTTGCCGCTGCTTCTTCCTCTCCCTCCTCCTCTACCATCCCCTTCACTCCCGCTACTGCTCCAACCACGTTCAACAGAATCTCTCCCTCCTCCTTTTCTGCATCAGCTGCTGCTCTTGCTGCAACCTCTGCCCTCTCGGCCTCTTGTCGCCTTCGCTTACTCTCCCTTTTCCACCTCTCCCTCCTGCTTTTCCTTTTCCTTGCCAACTTCTCCTCACCATCACCAGCCACTGCCGCAGCATCCATCGAACCCCCATCACCACCATCATCACCACCATCACCACCACCACCACCACCACCACCACCACCACCACCACCACCACCACCACCACCACCACCACCACCACCACCACCACCACCACCACCACCACCACCACCACCACCACCACCACCACCACCACCACCACCACCACCACCACCACCACCACCACCACCACCACCACCACCACCACCACCACCACCACCATCACCACCACCATCACCACCACCACCACCACCACCACCACCACCACCACCACCACCACCACCACCACCACCACCACCACCACCACCACCACCACCACCACCACCACCACCACCACCACCACCACCAACACCACCACCACCACCATCAACACCGCTGCTCCTCACACCGTTGCTCTCCCCACCGTCCCGTTCAGAATCTGCAGCCGCCGCAGCCGCGGCATCAGCAGGAGGAACACAAGCATCACCTCCACCCCCCTCAACTGCTGCCGCTCTTTCCTTCTCCTTCTTCTCCTTCTCCTCCTTCTCCTTCTCCTTCTTCTCCTTCCTCTTCTCCTTTCTCTTCTCCTTCCTCTTCTCCTTCTTCTTCTCCTTCTTCTCCTTCTCCTTCTCCTTCTTCTTCTCCTTCTTCTTCTCCTTCAGCTTCTCCCACCACTTCCTCGACTTCTCCTTCTTCCTCCTCATCCTCTCCTCCCTCTTCTCCTTCGCACTCCTTTCCTCATCCTGCTCACCCTTCTCCTCTCTCAATCCATCCGCAGTCACACTTACTACGTCCTCCTTCTTCCCCTTCTTGTCTCCCTCGACCAAGACACCATCAGCACCACTCTCTTCCTCCGTATCCACCTGCGCCTCGCCCTTCCCTACCGTACTCTTCACGTGCCTCTCACTTCCATCCTTCCCTCCTTCCCCCTTCCCTTCCACCTTTCCTTCCACCTTTCCTTCCCCCTTCCCTTCCACCTTTCCTTCCACCTTTCCTTCCACCTTTCCTTCCACCTTTCCTTCCACCATTCCTTCCACCTTTCCTTCCACCTGTTCCCCTTCACCCTCCTCGTCCTCGTCCTCGTCCTCGTCCTCGTCCTCGTCCTCGTCCTCGTCCTCGTCCTCGTCCTCGTCCTCGTCCTCCTCCTCCTCCTCCTCCTCCTCCTCCTCCTCCTCCTCCTCCTCCTCCTCCTCCTCCTCCTCCTCCTCCTCCTCCTCCTCCTCCTCCTCCTCCTCCTCCTCCTCCTCCTCCTCCTCCTCCTCCTCCCCCTCCCCCTCTTCCTCCTTCCCCTCCACCTCATTCCCTACCTTCTCACTCCCTTCCCCAACCACCCTCTCCTCCCACCGCCCAGCACCTCCTCTTTCCACATCCAAACCCTTCTGCACTCCCTCTCCCTCCCCTTCCACCTCTCGTTGGCCCATTTCCTCACTGCTAAGTTTCCTCGGCTCCTTTTCCCTCCTCTCTTTCCTCTTCTCATTCTTATCCTTCTTCTCCTGCTGCAGACTCAAGCACTGCTCGTCGTCGTCCTGCATCACCCTTTCTTCCGCCTCGCCTCTCCTGCTTCCCACCTGCTTACCCAACTTCTTCTCGCCCTCCACCGCTTCCCCCCCGTCCTCCCAACCACCTCCCACGTCCACCTTCCTCTTTCCATCATCCCCACTTCCCTTGCGCCCCGAACGCCCCTCTCTCGTTCTCCTCTGCTTCTGCCCTCCCTCTTCCAACCCCAACTCTCCCCTCACCTCCTCCTCGTCCCCCCTATCTCGCAAACTCTCCTCTCCTCGCCGCACTTCCACCGCCGCTGCACCTGCATGGTGAACCATCACCGTCGCACCCTTCTTCGTTTGCCTCTCTAACTTCTCGGACTTATGAGGCGCGTCAAAGGTAGTCTTATGAGGCGCGTCAAAGGTAGTCTTATGAGGCACGTCAAAGGTAATCTTATGAGGCGCGTCAAAGGTAGTCTTATGAGGCGCCTCAAAACAAGTCGTTGCACCTGCATGGTGAACCATCACCGTCTCACTCCTCTCCATTTGTCTCTCTAACTTAAGAGGCGCCTCGGACGACGTTTTACGAGGCGCCTCAAAAGAAGTTGCTGCACCTGCATCATGAGCCATCATCGTCTCACCCCTCTCCAATTCTCTCCCTGACTTATCCTCACCCAGGCTCACCTTCCTCGCTGCATCTTGCTGCGGTGCCTTCATTGCAGCTGGCCTCATCCCTCCACGGTCTACGAACACAGGCAGCAGAGGACTGGCGCAGGCACTGCTAGGAACCATCGCTACTGCTGCTGCTGGTGCTCTTGCCGGTGCTCTTGCCGGTGCTCTTGCCGGTGCTTCTGCAGCTCCAGCAGCAACAGGTGCAACAGCTGCAGCAGCAGTAGCAGCAGCAGCAGCAGCAGCAGCAGCAGCAGCAGCAGCAGCAGCAGCAGCAGCAGCAGCAGCAGCAGGAGCAGGAGCAGGAGCAGCAGTAGCAGGAGCAGGAGCAACGGGAACGGCACGAGCAGCAGAAGAAGAAGCAGCAACAGCAGCCTGAGCAGCAGTGCGTTCCTGAATGTCCCGTCGCAGCACAGCCTGAGCCCGCTGCACTGCCTCGAGCGCACTGGCTGCTGCACGCACTGCCGCTGCTGACAGCTGCTCGTGAGGAGCTTTAACGGTGGCAGCAGCAGCAGCAGCCTGAGGAACAGGAGCTGAGGCCCTGTTAACGCTAACGTTAACGTTACCGTTGGCATTGGCATTGACGTCTGGGCTTGGTCCTGACTTGTTGCGATCAGCAGGCTCACCAGAGCGTGTTGGTGTTGCTCTGCTTGCCTGTAGACTCGTCGATTCCGCACCACTACCAGCAGAAGGAGCCGCAGCTGCAGCAGCGCTCTCAGTTAACCTGTTCCCACGCTCCCCATGCCCGTTCTGTCTCATGCGTTCACCATCCTCCTCCCTCTTCGCGCTCGCCCTCTTCACGTGCTCCCTCGTGCCATTCTCCCTCGCCTCCTGCCCCCTCTTCTCCTCACCATCCCTCTGCTCCTCATACCCCTCTGCATGCCTCCTCGCATACCTTGGATCATGCCCCTTGTCATGTTCTCTCTTGCCATGCTGCCTCACCCCTCTCTGCTCCCTCTGCTCCTTCCCTTCACTCAGCATCCTCTCATAACCTTTCACATCCACTGCTCCACACAACTCCTCTTCATATCCCTTCCTCCCCTGTTCCATCTCCCTATCATCCCTACGACTCCAGCCCGCTCTCCCTTTCCCCTCTTCCCATTCCTCGCCCTCTTTCCCCTCTTTCCCTTCCCTCCCCCCTTTCCTCTCCTCCCTGCCCTCCCTCGCAGCTACATCGCCATACTTCGTCCCGCTCCCGCTCCCCAACCCCCTTCCCCCTCTCCACCTCTCCCTCTGCCTCCCGCGCAGCCTTTGCTCCCCCGTCCCCCCCCCCTCGCGCCAGCGGAACCTCATCCTCGATAAAGTACGTCTCGGGACTTTGATAGAACCCGTGCTCGTGCAGCCGGGTCAGAGCGGCGAAATCAGCAGCAGCAGCGTCAGCGTCTCCGGCCTGGCCCCTGGCACTGCCACCATCACCACCAGCAGCAGCAAAGGGCAGATTCCCTTTCGCACCTCCGCCTTGTCTGCCCCTCCCATACCGGCCCTCGCCCTGCCTCTCCAGGCCCTCACCCCTTGCACGATCTCGCAGAGTCCCCTCGTGCTCCCCGCCATCCTGCCTCCGCTCCATGCCCTCCCGCCCCTCGCGCCCCTCACGCCCCTCGCGCCCCTCACGCCCCTCGCGCCAATCCCGCCCGTCCCGCCCCTCGCGCTTCTCGCGCTCCCCCCACGGGCAGTCCAAGGTGCCGTTGTGAATCGTCATTGCACTCTGCTGGAACTCGCGCGAATCATGGGGCTCGCGAGGGAAGGCGCCGCCACCGCCGCCGCCGCCGCCGCTGCCGCTGCTGCCAGCGTTGTGGACGGAGCTTCGGCTGCTGGCGCTGCGCCCGCTGCTGCGCCCGCCTCTGTGGGCAGCGCCTCCTTTTCCGCGGACGCCGCCAGGCATGCCCCTGCCTCCGCCTCCCCAGCCCCCGTGCCCCTCGCCCCTCCCGAGATTGTCACCTCTTCCGTCCCTCTCGATATAATCACCTATTACTCCCCTCCCGCTATAATCAACCCTTCCCCTGTCACCCCTCCCACCGCCACCGCCTCCCATCCCATCAAACCCCTCAGCGCCCTGCTCCCCAGCCCCCCTCCCGCATGCCGTATTGTCTCCTCGCCCCCTTCCCCCTCGGTCCCCCTCCCAGTCTTCCCGCCCATCCCCCCAGGATTTCCGCCGGCGCACATTTTCCTCCCGATCGTTCCGGGGGGGGCTGCTGGAGCGGCACCGCCTTCCGCCCTCCTCTCTTAACCCCCACTCTTCCCCCGCTCTCCCCCTGGCGGAGTCACGCGTGAGCTCCCCCTCAGCCCCCGCCTCTCCACTTCCCTCGTCCTGCCCCCGCTGCGGGGAAAAGTCGCGGCTTTCGAGGGCTGAGGGGAGGGGAGAGGAAGGGGAAAGGGGGAAACGGGGAGGGAGTGGAGGAGGGTAAGAAGAGGGGGTGGTGACGGTGGAAGAACGGGTGGGGTTTGAAAGAGGGAGAGTGGATATGGGGGTTGGGAGCGGTAGCGGGTAGTTTTGAGCAATGCAGCAGAAATGGTCAGCTAAACGGCGGAATGAAAACCCGTTCCATGCGGACACAGAAGAAAGGTGCTCGGCCAATGGCGAAAACCCAGAACCCCGCTGTTTCCAACAAACCCCGCTAATACCCTCGACACGCCAGTCGAATCAACACGCACTTGGTGGCGACGATGGGGATGGACGGGAATTGCCTGGCGAGGAATAGGTCTTGGAGAGGGTCGAGCGGTTGTACGTGAAGCGCGCGCCTGTGTGATCTCGGTGGTCTCTGTGATTATCTCTGCCCGAGTCGTAAAAGGATCGTGAATACGCGCGAGCGCCGCGATCAGAGGCGATATGCGCCATATGCAGAGCTTACATATCGCGGTGATTGCATCAGTAATGACTTGACCTAGCAATGTGGTGTGTGGAGGACTTGACCGTTTACTAAGTCACGCCAGCCAGAGGCACACGGAACGGCTTTGCGTGCGGAGAGCCGACTTCAAAGGTGACGAGACTTGGCGAGTGCGACTGATGGCAGGGCTTAGTTGACCGGAGCCGAGCCTTGCAAAGACGTGAATGCTTGATGTATGGTCGGCTAAACCCTGACCCCTGTGGTAATTGCGGGAATGCGTGTGTGTCTCTCGTCGCCATTTCAGGTGTTCGATGGGGTGGGGAGGGGAAGGTACGGATGGAGGTGATGGGGGATTTTGCTTGCTTGCTGGGATGAGGTGCACGCCAAATATGGCATGACATAGCACCGCTTGGCATGGACTGGAAATGGGGGGCGCTTGGGGATGACGTGGGAGGTGAGGCGAGGGCAGGACGAAATTTACACTGTATGGGCTAACGCGAATGCGACACAAGCATTTTAGAAAGCTTGGTATCCTATCGACTTTTCCAAACAGAACGCACACAATCGTAGAAAGTGCTGTGCTGTTGTTGGTGCGACTTCAGGTGCTAACTGTGTTATGACCTGAGACTGGTTACCTGAGTGTTCTCTGTCGCAGCAATCACCTGCAGCGCAGCGCATCCGCCACTGTTTTCACAGGGAAACAGTCGGACCTTCGACCAATTTTACGTTGCCCGACTCAATAAATTTGGAATATTTCTTCGCGATTTCCAACTAAAGTCGTGTTGGGGTCCTGAAAAGTCATAATCAAATATTTTGTTGGTTGTTGCGCCCTCTGTTCCTTGCAGATTGCGCCGTCGGGTAGTAGTGTGGATGCAGCAGATTGCGTTGTTGGTTGTTGCGCCCTCTGTTCCTCCTTGCAGTCAATGCACACCGCCGCTTAGAGGAGACTTCCCGTTGTCCAATACACTCAGTGCGCACTTGAGGTGATGAAACAGGTGGGAAGCTCTGGCTGACGGGGAAAGGGGCGCTAAGAAACATCTCGACACTGGGATGACCGCCAGCAGCAGCAGCAGCAGCAACCATGGCAGCTTGAACAGGGTATCCAAAAACAGGGTATCCAGGAGCAGTAGTACCACCACTACTATACTCCATACCAGGGAAGAGCCCGTATGGTCTCAAGTGACTCGCGCTCCCCATGGCAAGTGGCGCTTGCCCATGGTGGGATGGTGTGGAGTGGGGAGGAAACGTGGCAGTCTGAAACGGCTGGAGTGGAAGCTGTTGCTGATGAAGCATGCTGGAGAAAGGAGGAGGAGGAGGTGGAGGAGGAGGAGGAGGGAGAGGAGGAGGAGGAGGAGGAGGAGGAGGAGGAGGAGGAGGAGGAGGAGGAGGAGGAGGAGGAGGAGGAGGAGGAGGAGGAGGAGGAGGAGGAGGAGGAGGAGGAGGAGGAGGAGGAGGAGGAGGAGGGGTGTGAGCAGGAACAGAGGGAGTAGAATTCCAGCTGCGAGCAGGGTAGCAAACCACTCCGGGGTGGAATGAAGCCGGGTCAGCAAGCCCATGCAGCCCATGCAGCCCACGCAGAGCATTGGAGGAACCCCTATGGTTCTGTGGCAGCACCACATTCTCCCTCCTCCCACCATGGCTTGCTGCCTTAGTCCACTCTGCTGCCACCCCTGCTGCTGCTGCTGAGGCCGATGCTACTGCTGTTGCTGTTGCTGCTGCAGCTGCTGCTGCTGCGACTGATGCTGCTCCTGCAGCTCCAATTACTACCGGCACCCCCCTTAGCTCTCCCATATCATCTCCTCTGCTTCCAACGGGATCTGCCATCTTGCCACCCTCTGCCCTTGTGCCACCCCTCTGCCCATCACTCTCCCTTATGCTTATCTGCAACCCATCCACTTTCTCAACCTTCACCCTTTTTGCTTTCTCCCCTTCTCCCTTTGCACAACCACTCCCAAAGACACCCGCATCCTTTCCGCTCTCTTCTCCCTTCCTTTCCCTTCTCCTTCTCCGCTCCTCTCTTCTTGACCTCTTTGCTTTCATCGCCTCGCCCTTCCCCTCCTGAAGCCCCTCCCCTTCAACATCCACCCGCTCCTCTCCTCCACCCCCACTGCCTTCTCTTCTCCCATCACACTCCCCCAACACTTGCCCTCTTCTCTCCTTCCCTGTACCCGCATCTCTCACCCTCGCCCCATCCTGCAAGTCACTGCTACCACCAACCCTAGCTACTCCCTCATTATCTTCTCCCTCATCCATCTGCTCTTTCACCTTCCTTCTCTTCCTTCTCCTTTCCCCCTCCACAGCCCCCTCCCCCCCTCTAGTCGGCTTCACAGCAGCAGCATCACACACTCCTTCCTCACTCAAACTCTTTAATCCCTTCTTGCTTCTCTTCCCTACCACCACCACCTCAACATGTCCTTTTCCTCCTTCAGCATTCTCCTCCCCAATCGCAACAACCCCCTCTCCTGCCCGTACCACCCCCTTCTTTCTGTCCTTTTCTCTCCTCACCCTCTTCGCCTCATTCTTCCTGGTTCGTGCCTCCTCCAACCCCTTGCCACTTCGCCGCACCTCATCATTACAGAGCTTCTGACTCCCAGTTTCTTCCTCTTCCTGATTTTCCTCCTCCCCTTCCATCTTTTCCTCCTCCCCTCCTTTCGTTTCCTCCTCCTCCTCCTCCTCCTCCTCCTCCTCCTCCTCCTTAGTCTGCACCTTCTTTCTATGCTTCTTTTTCTTCTCCTGCACATTTTCCTCCTCTTCAATGCTCCCTCCTTGTTTCTTGCGACCCTTCTTACTCTTTGAACGTGACTTAACCACCTCTGCCTCTTCCTCTTCCTCTTGGTCCTCCTCCCCTTCCTCCTCCTCTTCTTTCTTTTCCTCCTCCTCCTCCTCCTCCTCCTCCTCCTCCTCCTCCTCCTCCTCCTCCTCCTCCTCCTCCTCCTCCTCCTCCTCCTCCTCCTTACTCTGCACCTTCCTTCTGTGCTTCTTTTTCTTCTCCTGCACATTTTCCTCCTCTACACTGCTCCCTCCTTGCTTCTTGCGACCCTTCTTATTCTTTGAACGTAACTTAACCACCTCTGTCTCTGCCTCTTCCTCTTCCTCTTCCTCTTGGTCCTCCTCCCCTTCCTCCTCCTCTTCTTTCTTTTCCTCCTCCTCCTCCTCCTCCTCCTCCTCCTCCTCCTCCTCCTCCTCCTCCTCCTCCTCCTCCTCCTCCTCCTCCTCCTCCTCCTCCTCCTCCTCCTCCTCCTCCTCCTCCTCCTCCTCCTCCTCCTTCTCCTCCTCCTCCTCCTCCTCCTCCTCCTCCTTACTCTGCACCTTCTTTCTATGCTTCTTTTTCTTCTCCTGCACATTTTCCTCCTCTTCACTGCTCCCTCCTTGCTTCTTACTCTTTGAACGTGACTTAACCACCTCTGCCTCTGCCTCTTCCTCTTCCTCTTCCTCTTGGTCCTCCTCCTCTTCCTCCTCGTCTTCTTTCTTTTCCTCCTCCTCCTCCTCCTCCTCCTCCTCCTCCTCCTCCTCCTCCTCCTCCTCCTCCTCCTCCTCCTCCTCCTCCTCCTCCTCCTCCTCCTCCTCCTCCTCCTCCTCCTCCTCTTCCTCCTCTTCCTTCTCCTCCTCCTCCTCCTCCTCCTCTTCCTCCTCTTCCTCCTCCTCGTCCTCATCAGGAAAAGCTAGCCCCGACACAACAATGCTACCAGCATTGGACGGCCCTGGCAAGGGTATGGCAGCAGCAGCAGCAGCAGCAGCAGCAGCAGCATCATCTCCCAGTCCTGCAGCGTCGTCCTTGGGTACCAACTCCAAACCCTTTGCACCCTTTGCTCTCCTCGTTGTCCCCAAAAGCTCCTCCTCACTCTCACTCTCAAGCTCACTCTCACTCTCATTCTCACTCTCACTCTCACTGCTTTCCCCATTGCAGTCACTGCTGCCTTCTTCCTCCTCATCATCTTCCGATTGATCAGTTTTTTTACCTTCCTCGTCGCCCTCTGCTCCGTGTAACTCCTTATTCTCCAATCCCTCTGCTCTCTCATTTCTCTTTTCTCCCTCCTCTCCCAAAGTACCCCGCCAATGCATGCCACCCATCATCCCATCCTCTCGCAACGCTCCTCCCTCTGACTCATCTCCTGCCCCAGTCCCACAATCACCACCCATTCTGCTCACCCCTCCCCTCTCACCAACTCCAACTGCACCATCCCAATCACCACCACTACCACCCATCTCACCCGTTCCTCCCTCCTCTTGCCATCCCGCCCTCCCCTCGCCACCCGCCCTCTCCCACCTTTCACAGCCTACCTCTCCACTTCCTCTCCTCCTCGCACCACACTCTCCCCCACTGCCCTTCCCTCTTCCCTCATCCCCCTTCCCTTCTCTCACCCCGTTCCCTCCTTCCCCCTTTTTCGCTCTTCTCCCACCATTCCCTCCTCTCTCCCCCTTCCCTCCTCTCTCCCCATCCCCTTCTCTCCTCCCCGTGCCTCCTGTCCTCGCCATTCCTTGGTGCAAGTTTTGAGGCGCCTCAAAAAGCATGTCCCCCTCCACGTCCACTGGAGATGTCATCTCCCTCATAAAAGCATTATCCACAGCCACGTTTTGAGTCGACTCAAAACATGTCAAATTGTCCACGGCCACGCGCAGCTCATGGGCCATGGCAAGCAGGGACCTGCCGTCCTCGCCCTCCTTCATCCTATCCACCACCTGCCGGCTCACAGCGCAGTGCACCCGCCCATCGCACCCCACCACCATCCACGGCCTTTTCTCTTCTTCCTCCTCCTCTTCCACCCACACCACATTCCCCACATCGCCGCCCTGCGCTTCTGCTTCTGCCACCGCCGCTGCTGCTTCTGTTGAAATCCGTTGCCCATCTCCTCTTCCTCCCCCTCCTCCCCTATTTCGCTTCGTCTTTCCCCTTTTCAGCATCCGATTTTGATCACTCTCACCGTCAGATTCCTCCTCTTCCTCCCCTGAACTATCCCCCTCCTCAGCACCCTCCTCCTTGTCCTCCCTCTCTTCTTGTTCCTCCTCCTCGTCACCACCACCCCCTCCACGCGCACCACCACCCTGACCAGGCAGCCTCAGCAGCAGGTATCGAAGCTCTGTCGCACACTTGTCACCTTTGCCCTCCTCCCCCTCCTCATTTTTGCTCTCCTCCCCCTCCTCACCTTTGCCCTCCTCCCCCTCGTCACTTTTGCTCTCCTCCCCCTGATCAACTTTGTGCAACTCCACTCGAGCCACATGGTACAGCCCCGCATACATGAAGTTACGCTTCACTTGCTCTGTTTCCTCTCCTGCAACAGACGCGGCAGCAGCACCGTCTGTTCTATTCCTTCGGGCTTGTGCGTTGCGGAGATGCCTTTGCTGCCGTTGCTGCTGCTGCTGCTGCTGCTGCTGCTGCCGGCACCTACTGCCTGCTACCTGGTGCCGTGTGTCTGCCCCTCGCCCCTGCCACTCCCCTTCCAGCACCACACGCACAGGCAGCCCTGCAATGGCACTGTGCAGCAGGCTTGTGTTATACTTGAGGTGCGTCTGGTTGTTACACTTCTTCAAGTCCCAGCTTGTCCCAGGGATTTTGATCCACAGCGCACCATACTCAGCACCACCACCACCACCAGCAGCAGCAGCAGCAGCAGCAGCAGCAGCAGCAGCAGCAGCAGCAGCAGCAGCAGCAGCGCTCGCATCCTCTTCCCTGTCGCCGTTATCCTTCTCGCCCTCGTCTTCCTCTCGTGACTTGCGCTTCCTTGCCTTGCTCTTGATCGTGCTCGGCTGCTGTCTCTTCTGCTTCTGCTTATGCTGCTGCTTCCCCGTCAATCCCTTACCCCATCCCTGCACGCCTTTGAAAACGTCATTACCACCACCACCAGCACCACCGCCACCACCAGCACGACCCCTTTCCACCTTATGCACAATGCATGTCGCCACAGGTACGCCTCTACCCCGTTTCACACCCTCTCCCATTCCCACTCGCCCACCTTTCCCCCCCCTCTCCCCTTCCACTCCCCCACTCCCCCCCATAGTCCAGCTCTTCACCACGACCCAGTCCACCTTGCTTCTATCTTTGCGATGCACGCCCAGCACCTGCATCTCTTGCCTCGACCTAAACCGCATGCCCACAGGCACCCCCGGCACGTGTCCCAGCCCACACACGCGTGCACGCTCCTTCACCCACTGCGCCACCTCCGGGTCCAAACGCGCCCTTCTCCACACGTGCTTCTTGCCCATTTCGTCCGTAAAAACGCCCTTGCTTGCAGACTGCTGCAGCTTCAGCACCAGCCCCTGCTGGATCGCCCTCACTCTCTCCCTCGCCGCTGCTTCCTCCTCTTCCTCCTCCTCCGCCTCTCCCTCTCCCTCGTCTTTCCATTCTTCCTCATCCCTTTTGTCCTCCTCATCGTTCTCTCCATAGCTTCCTGGGCCGCTCCCGCTCCCGCTCCCGCTCCCGCTCCCGCTCCCGCTCCTGCTCCCACTCCTGCTCCCGCTTCTGCTCCTGCCAACAGCTCGTCTTGTGTGCTGCTGCTGTCGGTGCGCTGCTCTCGGTTGCGGGCGGACGGTGTAGGCTAATCGCTCACTCAGGTCCGGCAGGGGAGAGCGGATGCGCACAGGGATGAGCTTGCGGGGGAGCTGGGGAGGAGAAGCAGCCGAGGAGAGTGCCGGGTCTGAAACAATGGTGGTGTGCGGCACGCCTGTCTGCGGTGCGGTGGTGTGCGGTGAGCGTGCTTCATCTCCTGCTTCCTCCCGGCCTTCTTCCCCTCCCTCACTTCTCTCTCCACCCCTCCCCTCTTCCCCCACCACCTCTTCCACTTCTCTTTCTCCATTCTCTTCCATCCTCTCTGCTCCATTCTCGCCCCAGCTGCCCCCCACTGCACCACCAGCACCAGCACCAGCACCACCAGCACCAGTGCCCGGCATCCTCTCCGCGCATTCAGAATCATCGTGCGTGTGCATGGGCATGGGCATGTGTGCCGGCATGTGCCCCCTCGTGCCATTCTCCCTCTTCTCACCATCCCTCTGCTCCTCATGCCCCTCTACAAACCTCCTCTCATACCTCGCATCATGCCTCCCCTTGTCATGTTCTCTGTTGCTGTTGCCAAACTGCCTCACTCCTCTCTGCTCTTCCTGCTCCCTCCCTTCACTCAGCTTCCTCTCACGCCCTGCTCCACACAACTCCTCTTCATATCCCCTCCTCCCCTGTTCCGTCTCCCTATCGTCCCTATCCCTCCAGCCCTCTCTCACCGCTACAGCGCCATACTTCATCCCCCTCCCCCTCTCCCTCCGCGTCCCGCACAGCCCCTGCTCCCCCGCCCTGCCCCCTCGCGCCAGCGGAACCTCATCCTCCATAAAGTACGCCTCGGGTCTCTTATAGAACCCCTCCTCGTGCAGCGGCGTCAGAGCGGCGAAATCAGCAGCAGCGGTGCGAACTAATGGTTCGACACCTCTGGCCCGGCCCCTGGCACTGCCACCATCACCACCAGCAGCACCACCAGCAGCACCAGCAGCATCACCAGCAGCACCAACACCACCAACAGCAGCAGCAGCAGCAAAGGGCAGATTCCCGTCCGCACCTCCGCCTTGCCTGCCCCTCCCATACCGTCCCTCGCCCTGCCTTCCCAGGCCTTCACCCCTTGCACGATCTTGCAGCGTCCCCTTGTGCCCCCCACCATCCTGCCTCCGCCCCATGCCCTCGCGCCCCTCCCGCCTATCCCACCCATCTCGCCCCTCGCGCTTCTCGCGCTCCCCGCAAGGGGAGTCCAAGGTGCCGTTGCCCGCAGCTCCGCGCGCCTTTACCTCTCCCCCCGGTCTTCCCAGCAGCTCCCCCTGTCCGCCTCCTCCGCGCCTGTGCAAACCCATCCCGCCTCTATCCCTGTCCCCTCCTGCGCGCGCCTCTCCGCCTCCCCCCACCGCCTGCTGCTGCGCGTTTCCGCGCACCTGCCCGTCCGACCGACCCCGACCCCTCCCTCCGTCGCGCCTCTCTCCCTCAACCACGTTGTGAATCGCCAGAGCACTCTGCTGGAGCTCGCGCGAATCATGGGAATCACGAAGGAAAGCGCCGCCACCGCCGCCGCCGCCGCCGCCGCCGCTGCTGTCAGCGTTGTGCGCGGAACTTCTGCCGCTGCCGCTGCCCCCGCTGCCGTGGGCAGCGCCTCTTCTTCCGCGGACGCCGCCCCAGCCCCCGTGCCCCTCGCCCCTCCCGCTGTACGCACCCGTCCTCCCGAAAACATCACCTCCTCCGCCCTTCCCGTTGTAATCACCTCTTCCTGTTTCCCCCCTCCCGCTACTATCAACCCTTCCCCTGTCACCCCTACCACCACCACCGCCTCTTATCCCCTCATCCCCCTCACCGCCCCTATCTCCAACCCCCCTCCCCCATGCCGCATTGTCTCCTCGCCCCCTTCCCCCTCGGTCCCCCTCCCAGTCTTCCCGCCTGTCCCCCCAGGATTTCCGCTGGCGCACATTTTCCCCCCAATCATTCCGGGGGGGGCTGCTGGAGCGGCACCGCCTTCCGCCCTCCTCTCTTAACCCCCACTCTTCCCCCGCTCTCCCCCTGGCGGAGTCCCGCGTGAGCTCCCCCTCAGCCCCCGCCTCTCCCCTTCCCCCGTCCTGTCCCCGCTGCGGGGAAAAGTCGCGGCTTTCGAGGGCTGAGGGGAGGGGAGAGGAAGGGGAAAGGGGGAAACGGGGAGGGAGTGGAGGAGGGTAAGAAGAGGGGGTGGTGATGGTGGAAGAACGGGTGGGGTTTGAAAGAGGGAGAGTGGATATGGGGGTTGAAAGCGAGTAGCGGGTAGTTGTGAGCAATGCAGCAGAAATGATCAGCTAAACGGCGGAATGAAAACCCGTTCCATGCGGACACAGAAGAAAGGTGGTCGGCCAATGGTGGAAACCCAGAACCCCGCTGTTTCCAACAAACCCCGCTAACACGCCAGTCGAATCAGCACGCACTTGGTGGCGATGAGGGAAATGGACGGGAATAGCCTGGCCGATTATAGGTCCTGGAGGGAGCCGCGCGGTCGTACGTGAAGCGCGCGCCTGTGCGTTTATCGCGGTGGTCTCTCTGGTCTCTCTGAATATTTCTGTCCGAGTTGTAAAAGGTTCGGGAATGCGCGCGAGCGCCGCGATCAGAGGCGACATGCGCCATCTACAGAGCTTACATATTGCGGTGATTGCATCAGTGATGACTTGACCTATATAGCAATGTGGTGTGTGGAGGACTTGACCGTCTTCTAAGTCACGACAGCCAGAGGTTCACGGAGTGGCTTTGCGTGCTGAAAGCCCACTTCAAAGGTGACGAGACTTGACGAGTGCAACCCATGGCAGGGGAAATAAGTTGACCTGAGCTGAGCCTTGGAATGAATGACTTGCTTGCTTGCTGTATGGTCAGTTGGGCCCTGTATCTTGTGGGTGTGTGTGTGTGTGTGACTCTGCTCCGCGCCAAATCTGGTGTTTCATGTTGGGGAGGAGGCACGGATGGTGGTGATGGGGAGTTTGCCTGCTTGACGGGATGAGGCACACGCCAAACATAACATGGACGGGATGGGCGGGGCTGGGGATGGCGTTGGGGGTGGCGGGGCGAGAAGTATACTGTATAGGCTAACGCGAAAGCGACACAAGAATTGTTGAAGGCTTGATATAATTACATCACACAATTGGGAAAAGGAAAGCTGTGTGCTGCTGGTGCTGGGACTCTCAGGCGCGAACAGGTAATGACCTGAGACTGGTAACCTGAGCATTCTCTGTCGCAGCAATCACCTGCAGCGCAGCGCCTCCGCCACTGTTTTTACTAGGAAACTGTTGGACCTTTGATCACTTTTACGTTGCCCAAAATCTCTAAAAAAACCTGCTATACTTCTTAGCGATTCTTACATTGACCCCTTGGTTGTTATTTCAAAATCACGGAATTAATTCATGTTCACGTGTAACTACTTGTGCCTCTATTTTGTGATGGAGCAATAGAACTGCCCGTTACTATCCAAAGCAGAACGCAGTTGCAGGTCTTGTCGGTTCAACCCACGAAAAGCGAAGCCCTCACTGGTTCCTGAAATTGAGAAGTCCTCGCGAAGTTCTCTGACCATACAGGATTAATCTGCAGCTTTGCGAAGCAATCGGCGTCGCCAACGTGTTGCTACCACAGCTCAATTCCCTGCATCCTGTAACACGACAGTGCTCAAACCCACTGTTGTCACGCGCTGACGAAAAGACGACAGAGCAGTGTAACATGCGACAGTGATTGGTTGGGCTCCTGCTCTCGTTGGGCTTCTCCCAGCCCGGCAAAACCGTGGATGTGAGCGTGGTGCAACCTCACCTCACCTGACCTCGCCTCCCCCCAGAACTCGAGAATCTGCTGCTCTTTTCTCTACATTCCTTCCTACCATCACCTTCTTGCTGGCTGCCTCTCCCTCATCTCCATCAGAACTGGACGGGTTCAGTACGCACATCCCCACCGTGTGGGTTATAGAAAGCATTCCACGCTCATTCAATCCACCAGTGGCCTCGCACAATGGCTTGCGACGAGGCGACGGACCACGGGTAGCTGATATACCCGCTAACTTTTTTCGCCGGCGTCACCGCATGCGGCGTGTGTCGTGTGGCGTCGCTTATCACAGACAATGGCTCCCACTTCTATCCACGCTCATCTCTCGCACCTCGTCCGCTTTCCCCTGTGCGTCTTCGCTTTCCGTCGAGCGCGACGGCAGAGAGGGTAGGGTAGAAAGAAGCTTCCCAGCGCTAGTTCCATAGCAGTGTGCTTGGGTGGGGGGTGAATCGGCTCGGCAGATCCGCGGCAAGAGTATCTGTGCGCTACAGTTGCCTTGGAGATTTTCTAAACGGCAGCTTGACACACTCTCCACGAGTGTGTGAGTGTGTGGGTGTTCCTGCAGCCAGCTGCTCACAGACCGTCTGCCACCATTCGCTCTCCATCGGCTTTCTGTGGCTCCAGCCATACCTCGCTCGCTCGCTCGCTAGCTCGCTCGCTCCATCAATCGATCGCTCACCGCGCGCACCCACATTAGCTAGTCCTCTTTGTCGCACGTCTTTCGGATCTCAGTGCTCCGCTGCGACTCTTAACTTATTTCAATCGCACAGCCGTCGCAGCACGACGTACCGTCGCACGCACGGGCGTAGCGTACTTCGTTCCCCGAGCGCCGCAGACCACTTATCCGCTCCCGTGTCCTCATTCCGCCTACCTCGCAGTACTCTCCCCATCCCGCCTCTTTGCCTTTCCGCCTTTCCGCCTTTCCTCCAAAATTTCAACCCTGCACGTGGCGGGCCACGACGCAATGGCGCCCTTCCGCCGCTCCGCGGAGCGCCTTTTCCCGCCATTGCTGATGCTGGCGGTCATTGGCTCGCTATGCTGTCCTGCGGGGCACGCCGCAATCACGGTGGAACAGCCGAGAATTCGGGTTAGTGCTCTTGCTGCTCTTATCACTACCGCACCGTGAGCATCATGCCACGGCAATTAGACCACCCCCCTTCACTCCTGCTTTCCTATAAGTGTCGTGCTGCTTTGTGCCTTCCTGCTCTCTCCTCCTCCCCTCTCCCTCGCTCGTTTTTTCTTTACCCCACCCACAGCGCTCCTCCTCTCCCCCTCCCTTCCCCTCTCCCTCGTTCCCCCTGTCCGGCGCAGCACGAGCAGCACACGTGCGGGAGGGAGCAGTGCGGGGGAGAGGGGGCGGCGCAGCGGGGAGGGGGGAGGCGGCGGATAGCGGAGGAGGTGGAGGAGGAGGTGGTGACAGGATGGTACCGGGGGGAAGGTGCTGCTGCTGCTGCTGCTGCCAGTGTCGCTGCTGCTGCTGGTGTGGCGGCTGCTGGTGTTGGTGGTGGTGGTGGTGCGGGGGGTGTGAGCCGGTACCTCAAGGAGTCGCAACACGCCGTCAGTGCCATGGGCATGGTGAGATGGCAGAGGCAGGTATAGCTGGTGCCGTGCCGTGCACCAGACGTGAGTGGCCTGTTGGCCACGGATGGAGGATGGGTGGGCAATGGCATGCTTGCATATGGTATTTGAACGAGCACATTCTCCAGAGGATCTCGTGATTGCCATGTCACATGATTGACTGCCATGTTGAGTCATGCAAATGGGCCTGTGCCATCATCCTTTCTCCCAACTCCCAACTCCCACCTGTTACACAGCATCGTCACCATCTCCCACTCATCACACACGCTTCCTCCTAATGCGTCCACCACCCCTCTCCTCACCTCTCCCCTTCCCAAACTTCTCCCCGGTCCCATCCTGCTCCCCACCTCCGCATTCCCCTCTGCGCCTCCCCCTGCGTTCCCCCCTGCGCCATGCCCTCCGCCAGGCCACGACACAGGCAGTGACACCAGCGCCCAAGCTGCGCAAGTGCCAGAAGCTGCTGCGAGAGGGCTCCTTCAGCCTCAACCGGTGGGCGCGCGCAGGGGCAGGGGCACACACAGGGTGTAGCGCGCGCAGGGGGGGCAGGGGGGGCACTGAGGGGGATCTTGGGGGGCACTGAAGGGGCACTGGGGGGGCACTGGGGGGGCACTGGGGGATCTTGTGACGTAATTTCTCAGGGAGCTGCAAAAACCGGGGGGCACTGGGGGGTTTCTTAAGAGTGACTGGCACTAGGCATGGGGCCTTTCAGGGGTGGCTAGTTATTTTGCGGTGCTTGATTGATTGATTGTGGGTTGTGATGGCGTGACCGTGTGTGGTGGGGTTTAAGCTCCGAGACCATACATGCACTAGGGCTTGACTGAAGGGGTGAGGAATGCGCGGGATGTGATGGGACGGGATGGGAATGGGATGGGTTGGGAATAGGTATGGGTTGGGATGGTATGGGATCACAGCATGGGGTGCGAGTGGGGGAAGGAGGGTAATGCTCAACTGATTCCTCTCCCATCTCACCCCTCTCTTCCCCTCTCCCCCGTTCCCCTCTCCCTACTCCCCCTCCCCCTCCCCTCTCCCCCTCCCCCTCCCCCTCCCCCTCCCCTCTCCCCCTCTCCCCTCTCCCCCCTCCCCTCTCCCCTCTCCCCTCTCCCCTCTCCCCTCTCCCCTCTCCCCTCTCCCCTCTCCCCTCTATCCTCTCCCCCTACCCTCCCCCTTCCCTCTTCTCCCCTCTCCCCCCCCCTCCCACCTCTCCGCCCCTCAGGTCCTCCTATTTCATAGGCCTCAACTTCGGTCCGCGCAAGCAGCTGTTCTACCTGCGTCTGGACAACCTCACGCCAATCACCTGGTTCACCTGCGACTGCGTCACACCCACCTCCTGCCGCACTGCCGGCACCGTCCTGCCCGTATGTGTCGTGCGGCCCCCCGCACTGCCGCCACCTGCTGCTGTGCCTGCCAATGCCATGCCGTGCCATGCTGTGCCGTGCCATTCCGGCCCAACCCCCATGCGCCACTCTTTCTCCTCTCTCCCCTCCCTGACTCCCCTCCCCACTCTCTTTACCCCTCCGCCGTGCATGCTGTGTGGGAGCAGGAGCGGCCGCCGTACAACACAACAGAGAACGGGGCGACGGCAGTGCTGTGCGACACCGACACGTGCAAGAACAACACCGACCGCCCCGCACCCGGCCTCAAGATCGGCTGCCAGGTGCGCTGCTCCGCCTGGGGGGTGGGGGGGGGGGGGGGGGGGGGGGCGGGAAGGGCGGAGGGAGGGGGTTGGGTGGAAAGTGTCTTCTCTTCTTTGAGAGGAGAGTCAACTCAAAATGATACGTGCCGCAACACCACCGACCGGCCTGCACCCGGGGGCTGAATTGGCTGCCAGGTTCGCCGCTCCGCCTGGCAGGGCGTTTGGCTGGAGTGTGTAAGGCGCGGGCAGGGCATGGGCAGGGCACGCGGGCAAGGGCAGGAGCTGGGAGAAGCATAGGGCTGCTGGGTGCTGCTGGGTGCTGCTGGGGTGGATGGGTGGGTGGGCAGTGCCCCCACTTAGGACGAGAGTTGACGCCTCTCTCTCTGCCCCCATACTCGCTTACTCTGCTCTTGCCCTCCTTCACCAGTCCTCCCATCCCTCCTTTCCCTTCCTTCCCCTCCCCTCCCTTCCCTCCGCTCCCCTACCCTCTCCCTCCCCTCCCTTCCCCTCAATCCCTCCTTCCCTTCCCTCCCCTCCCCTGCCTCCCCTGCCTCCCCTCCCTCCCCTCTCCCCTTCCCTCCCCTCCCTTCCCCCCCACTGCCCTTATCTTATCCCACTCACCAGGTGGCAGACCAGATCCCGTCAAAGCTGGGCAAGGGCAAGTGCGAGTACCTGCACCTGCACACCATCGTGCGGTCGCCTCTAGGGTCCATAGGCAGCCTTCCCAACAAGGACGGCACCAAGGTGGGCAAGAGCTACGGCATCTTCTACCCCGAGAACGTGTGGCTCACCCACATGGACGGCTGGACCGTCAGCCCCGAGCTTGTTGTTGGGTGAGCTGGGTGGGGAGGGAGGGGGTTGAAGTGGGTTGGAGTGGGGTGAGTGGAGGTGCAGGGGGGTGGTGGGGGTCTGTGGGAGTGCAGAGACTGGAAGGTGGTGGGGGATGGTGGGTGGGACGAAAAGGGGCGGTGGAGGGAGTTGGTGTTTTTTCTGGTGCTGAAGAATTCTCCTGTGCAATTCCTTTCACGGAGTCCTCACTAGCTACTCAGCACCAGCCCCTACCGCTCATCCCCCCTCCCCCCCCAACGCACGCACAGCTGCGGTATGGTGCAGAAAGGAGCGCTAGGCGGCTACACCGAGGTGCCCGACGGGGTCTTCGGGCTCGGGTGGGGAAAACTCAGCATCCTCTCACAAATGGCGGACCTGGGCGTGTGGGAGAACAGCTTCGGGCTGTGCTTCGAGGGCGACATGGGGCTCAAGGGCGGGTCGTACCTCAACTTAGGCGACGCGCTGATAGATGGGTACAGCGATACCATCCCCATGCGCCGCATCTTCCCGAGCCCCATGTTCTTTGTGGACCTGGGGGAGGTGCGCATGGGGAGCAAGGTGGTGAACGTGCCGGCGGGGACCTTTGGGAAGCCGACGCCCAAGGCGGAGGGGGGCGTGGTGGTGGACCCGTTTACTACTGTCACGCGCTTGCCGCCCGTTGCGCTGCTCGCTATTAATGAAACGGTACAGTGTGGTGGCAATGGGGTGGGGTGCGGATGGGGTGTGGTGTGGTGCGGTGTGGTGTGGTGGGGTGTGGTGCAGTGTGGTGTGGTGTGGTGGGGTGTGGTGTAGATGAGGTGAGCTATACATGGTGTATGGTGCTGGGGTGTGCATGACACATGACATGATGCGTTTATGGTTGCATCACTCTCACCCCTGCGGGCCGCATATGATTCACACCCTTTCCTTCCATTTCTTTCTTTTCGTGCCTGTACTCTCCATGCCTTTCCCTCCGTGACTTTCCCTCCGCGCCTTCCCCCCTTATGCCTTTCCTCACCATGCCTTTCCCCCCCATGCCTTCCCCTCCCATGCCACTCCCTCCATCCCTTTCCCCTCCATCCGTTTCCCCTCCATGCCTTTCCCCCCCATGCCTTCCCACCCTGTGCCGGCACATATGCAGCTGGTGGGGTTGATGCCCAATCTGACGTACGACAAGGGCAACTCCAATCAAAGACCTTCGGACTCATCTGCTGGTGAATTTTGAGTCCACTCAATATTCCCTCCTTTCCTTATTCCCCCATGCCTTTCCACACTGCGCCCGCACACATGCAGCTGGTGGGGTTGATGCCCAATCTGACGTACGATAAGGGCAACTCCAAGACCTTCGGCCTCATCTGCTGGAAGGGCGCGCCCTACAAGCAGTCAGTGCCGCCCCCACCCCACCCTCCTGCTGCCTGCTGCCTTCCTGCCTGCCTGCCTGCCTGCCTGCCTGCCTGCCTGCCTGCCTGCCTGCCTGCCTGCCTGCCTGCCTGCCTGCCTGCCTGCCTGCCTGCCTGCCTGCCTGCCTGCCTGCCTGCCTGCCTGCCTGCCTGCCTGCCTGCCTGCCTGCCTGCCTGCCTGCCTGCCTGCCTGCCTGCCTGCCTGCCTGCCTGCCTGCCTGCCTGCCTGCCTGCCTGCCTGCCTGCCTGCCTGCCTGCCTGCCTGCCTGCCTGCCTGCCTGCCTGCCTGCCTGCCTGCCTGCCTGCCTGCCTGCCTGCCTGCCTGCCTGCCTGCCTGCCTGCCTGCCTGCCTGCTTGCATCTGTGTCCTGCTTTTTCCTCTTGCTCGCATCCCTTTCCCCACATCCCTTGCTTGCCCGCTCTCTCAAATCCTCTCCTCCATAACTCCCAAGCCCTTCCTCCTGTACTACTCCCCACATCCCATCCACTTCCCACATCCGCGCAAGCGAGAGCAGGAAGAAGCTAGAGCTGTTCTACCCACAGTTCCCCAACTCCCTCCTGTGTATTCCCCACACCCTCTCCCGTCCTGCATTATCATTTCCTCTCACATCCGTCTGACTGAGATGTGAGCAGGAAAAAGCCAGAGCTGTTCTACCCACAGTTCCCCAACATGCAGCTCGTCTTCCCCAACAACACCATCTTCTACGTGCTGCCGCAGTCCTACCTCATTGCGGTACTCCTCCCCCCTCGCCCTCTCCCCTCGCCCTCCCCCCTCGCCCTCGCCCTCGCCCTCGCCCTCACCCTCACCCTCCCTCTCCCATCCTCTCTCACATTCTCCCCTTCACTCACTTCCCCCCCCTCACTTGCGTTTGCTCCCTCACTTGCTTTCCCTCTCCCTCAGTTGCTCTCCCGACCTCACTCGCTCGCATCTCTTTTCCTCACCGTCTTTGCCTGCTCTGATCTCTCCTGTTCTGATCTGTTCTGTCTCCAATCTCCTACTTGCCGCACGTCCCCCACTGCATGCCGTGCATTCCTACATGTACCCCATGTGCACAACCACACTCCATGCCCTTGACCATACCCATGCTGCTGCATTTAATCTGCTATCCTGGTTCATCCACCCACCCACCACCACTCCACCCTGTGTACGTGAATGGCAGAACATCACCACGGGCAAGGTGTGTCTGGCGGCAGCAGAGACCACTGACAGCCGCACCACCATTGGCGGTACGCACCAGCATAGGGCAGCGCTTGCATGCAGTGGGTCTATGGCTGCTATAGCTGTCCCCTGCAATGCTGCTATGGCTGTCCCCTGCAATGCTGCTATGGCTGTCCCCTGCAATGCTGCTATGGCTGTCCCCTGCAATGCTGCTATGGCTGTCCCCTGCAATGCTGCTATGGCTGCCCCCTGCAATGCTGCTATGGCCGTCCCCTGCAATGCTGCTATGGCTGTCCCCTGCAATGCTGCTATGGCTGTCCCCTGCAATGCTGCTATGGCTGTCCCCTGCAATGCTGCTATGGCTGTCCCCTGCAATGCTGCTATGGCTGTCCCCTGCAATGCTGCTATAGCTGTCCCCTGCAATGCTGCTACAGCTGTCCCCTGCAATGCTGCTATGGCTGTCCCCTGCAATGCTGCTATGGCTGTCCCCTGCAATGCTGCTATGGCTGTCCCCTGCAATGCTGCTATGGCTGTTGCAGTGCATGCAAGGAACAAGCTAGATGCCTGCTCCTGTTCTTTGTCATGTGCCTCATTTGTGTGTGTGTGTGTGTGTGTGTGTGTTTGTGCATGTATGTTTGTGTGTCTGGACGCATGCCTCTGTGTGCATGCATGTGTGTATGTGTGCATGTGTGCATGTGTCCATGTGTTCATGTGTGCCTGTGTGCATGTGTGCATGTGTGCATGTGTTCATGTGTACATGTGTGCATGTGTGCATGTGTGCATGTGTTCATGTGTGCATGTGTGCATGTGTGCATGTGTGCATGTGTTCATGTGTGCCTGTGTGCATGTGTGCATGTGTGCATGTGTGCATGTGTCCATGTGCGCATGTGTGCATGTGTCCATGTGTGCCTGTGTGCATGTGTGCATGTGTGCATGGGTGCATGAGTGTATGGGTGCATGTGTGCATGGGTGCATGTGTGCATGTGTGCATGTGTCCATGTGTTCATGTGTGCCTGTGTGCATGGGTGTATGCGAGCATGTGTGCATGCCTGCATGTGTATATGGGTGCATTTCTGTACACATGCATGCATTTCTGCATGTGGGTGCATGCATGCATGCATCAGAGTCATTCCTGCGCAACAAGATGGTCATATACAACTACAAGGACAGCACCATATCATGGGCAGACATGAACTGTACGTCTCCACCACCTCACCTCCAATCAACTCCTCATTACCACCTTCCTCTCCCTTTCCCTCCCTGCCCTCCCTTCCCCCCTTTCTCTCCGCCCGTTTCTCTACCCTTTCCCTCCATTCAATCCCGTCTTTAAATCCCATGTTCTCACATATGCTCGGCCCCTCCCACCATGGGCCCCCACCTTCCCACCCACCCCCCCAGGCACCACTGGAGTACGCTTCTTCAACTTCACAGCCAAACCCCCAGGGCTCATGCCCCCACCTCCTCTCATGCCCCCCCCCATGCCTCCCCCGAAACCCTCTATCGCCTTCCCCCCTCCCCCCCTGCCAAAGCCCCCGCCTCCTGCACCAAAACTCCCCCCACCGTCACCCCCCACACTGCCCCCTCCCAAACCAGCTCTCCCTCCCCCAATTAAACCCCCAGTTGCTCCGCCTGTCCCTCCTCCCCTTCCCCCCAAAGTCACCCCTCCCCCCTGGACCAAGCCTCCCCCCGTGGTGACCACCCCCCCTCCTGTCGCCACTAAACCCCCCCCTGTGATTGCTGCGCCCTCCCCTCCTCCTCCTTGGACTTGGCCCCCCAAAGCTTCCCCCCCTCCTTGGACGTGGCCCCCCCAAGCCTCCCCACCCCCCTGGACGTGGCCCCCTAAAGCTCCCCCTCCTCCTTGGACTTGGCCCCCTGATGCCCCGCCTCCCCCCTGGACGTGGCCCCCCCAAGCTCCTCCCCCTCCTTGGACTTGGCCCCCTGATGCTCCCCCTCCCCCTTGGACTTGGCCCCCTGATGCTCCCCCTCCCCCTTGGACTTGGCCCCCTGATGCTCCCCCTCCCCCTTGGACTTGGCCCCCTGATGCTCCCCCTCCCCCTTGGACTTGGCCCCCTGATGCTCCCCCTCCCCCTTGGACTTGGCCCCCTGATGCCCCGCCTCCCCCCTGGACGTGGCCCCCCCAAGCTCCTCCCCCTCCTTGGACTTGGCCCCCCGAAGCTCCCCCTCCCCCCTGGACTTGGCCCCCTGATGCCCCCCCTCCCCCTTGGACATATCCCCCCGAATTTCCCCCACCACCCGAACTTCTTCCTCCTCCCCCTCCTCCTGAGACCTCCCCAGCTTTCCCCCCATCGCTCGTGTCCCCCCCACCGCCATACCCTCCTCTTCCCCCGTTACAATCACTCACTCAATGGTGGGTCAACCCGCACAAGAAACGCAAGACGCCGCCCCCGTTTGAGGCCCCTGCTTCGTGGACTATCTGGCCTATGAATGATGCAGCAGCAACAGCACCCCCCACTCCTCATAGAGCACAGGTGAAGGGAAAGAAGAACAAGGTAAATGGCCCGCATGGTGCAGCAGGGTCGAGAGCTAGTGTTGCTGTGGAAGGGGGAGATGAGAAGGGGAAGGATGGGTTGCTGGTTCGGGAGGAAAAGAAGAAGGGGAAGGTGCATGAGAAGAGGGACCCAGGTGTAGCAGGGTATAGAGCCGTTGTTGCTGTGGAAGGGGGAGATAAAGAAAGGAAGGATGGGCTGGTGGTTCAGGCAAAGAGGGAGAAGGAGAGAGTGCATGCTAGGAGGAACCCAGGTGCTGCAGGGTCTAGAGCCGCTGTTGTTCTCGAAAAAGGGGAAGATAAAGAAGGGACGGATGGGTTGTTGGTTCAGGCAGAGAGAGAGAAGAAGAGGGTGCATGAGAAGAGGGACCCAGGTGCAGCAGGATCTAGAACCGTTGTTGCTGTGGAAGGGGAAGAGGAAGAGGAGGATGGTTTGCTGGGCCGGGCAGAGAGGGAAAAGGAGAGGGTGCATGAGAAGAAGAGGAATTACGGAGCAATGGAAGTTGAGGGTGTAGGGCAGCACCAAATGCATCAACGTGTAGCACCGTAGATGTGAAGGGTGTATCCGGAAACCACAGTCGGAGGTATTTGACTGTATTATATGATACACTTGGCACAAGTGATTCTTCCTCCACATAAGGATGGCTGTAATGTTGGTGACCTGGGCAATCAACGACTTTGCTGTGCCTTCTATTCCATCCGTGTATTGCTTGTTCTGTTGGGCTCTGGGCATTGGGCAATCAACAACCGTGCTGTGCCTCCCGTCCATGTATTGCTTGCGTTGTGCAAGCACTGGTAAGCAGTTGTCATTTTATCATGCTCTGACAATCTCTGAATTGGAATCTATGAACTGGTGTCAGTAGTTTTAGTCAACTTGCAATCTCTAAGACAAGAAACAGGGCAACAAACAACATGTACTAGACAAACAAAAACCAAGGGAAGCGGCATTCAGTGGCTCAGTGCTGCTGGCCTGTCCATGCGGCCAGAACTACCAGCACTCCTGCAATGTGGAGTACAGTAAGAGAACGCAGGAGTCATGTGGAGCTGTAGGGTTGAGCAATCAAGAAATTTGGCCGACCATTGATAACCATTGATAGAAAACAGGGAAACGAGGCTACGGTAGCTAACAGGTGAGTGCGTGCTTGATAAAAAACAGAGACACGTGCGTGAGGAACAGAACATGGAAACCAAAACCAAAACAAATCTGCAAAACGATAGAAAAGAAAAGAAAAAAAAGCAGTGTGAGTGACAATCCAGTGAGAAAAATCACCTTTCCAGAGGCCTTCACTCGCTGTCTTCGTCACTATCCCCCCCTCCTCCATCAGAACCACTCCCCTCCTCATCATCCTCGTCGTCACTCTCCTCCTCACTGCTCCCACCTCCTCCTCTTGCCACAGGCGGCGGAGGCGGAGCTCGTCCGCCCCTCCTAGTGCGGCTGGGGAGGATGTTCCGCGTATCCACTGAATCAGGCGGCTCCTCTACAATCCGCACGCGATCCGGATCATCGTCCTCGTCATCGTCATCCCCGCGCCGTTTCTTCCCTCCCCCCCCGCCTCCGCCTCCGCTTCCGCGCTTCTTCTTCTTAAGCCGCTCGTCCTCGCTCTGATCGCTCGCCTCGTCCTCCTCGTCGTCCTCGTCGCTTTCGCTGCCTCGTTTCGATTTTTTCCTTTGGGCCGGCTTGCTCGGTTTCTTGACAGGCTTCGCACTCTTTTTCGGCCTCCGCTCCTCCTCCTCCTCCTCCTCCTCCTCCTCCTCCTCCTCCTCCTCCTCCTCCTCGCTCCCGTCAAACCCCTCGCTTTCCTCATCGTCGTCGTCCTCGTAATCCGACCCCTTTCGTTTTGGCTTCTTTGCCTCCTTGCCCTTCCCCCCCGAATGATGTTTCTTGTCTGGCTTGCTCGCTCGATCTCCCCCGTTCTTGCCGGAGCTGGAACGGCCCTCCTTCCGGTTGCCGACCGCGCCCGACGTCGGAGCTGCAGCTGGCGGGATTCCGGCTCGGCGAGCTTGCGCCAGCGCCTCAAGCTTCTTCCTCCGATCGTCCATCGTGGCGAAAAGCCGAAATCACCACGACGCAAGAGCAGCCTCGGCTCAACAAGCCTTGGTCAGGCAAAGAAAAAGGCCAACAAGGAAACGTAAGAGCAGAGAGAAACAGCGAATTGAGGCGGGAAATCGGAAAATACCTCGAGGCCCTTAGGGAAGCCTGATGCACAGACCAGCTCAATCGACTCTTTGCTTGGTGGTAGATGGCAACGCCCAGATTCGCTGCCTCAGCCCGAAGAGCCAGATCTGCAATTGCCGCCAAACAACAGTAATTGTTTGAACTGTATACAACGACTTCACCCTGAATTTCATTCAAAAGCGTACAAGCGCACCTCAACCTAAAAACTTATTCCTTGCTCAAGACCATACCCAACCGATCTTTATGCCGTATTGAACCGCTGTGCAACGTAGACAATCTGTATGAGCCGCATTCAGTTGAACGCAGGGGACAGGCCCTCGCAGATCACCTCCCCCAAACCCCCCATGTTTCTCCACAGCTAACCTCTGCGTCGACAGTCGCCTTTTCTTTCAACTTGGGAACTGGGGTGCCGCCATTGCACTCCACCTGCTCACCATGGCGTCATTCCAACTTTTGTCTCAAACCGCATTCGAGTCATATCGGTCGACCGTTTACAGTCTTCGCTGTAAGGAAACTGACTCAATTTCCTGGAATGGGAGACATGGAGCCTCGAGCTCTTTGCCATGGAAAAAAACGATTTTTGGAGAACTGCGTCGAGGCATGTCAGTGGGAACGCGACGAACAGGGGTGCAGATTGAACACAACTGGTGAGACAAATGAGCAGACCAGGGGAAGATCCATGAGAGAGGCACATTTCTGTTCCACTAGCTTGCTTCGCATGTCTCACCCTCGCTAGCCTGTCCACGTGTTCTTTCCTCCTCTACCAGGTTCTCCCCCATTCCAGTTAACTGCCAAATCTTTCCAGGCACTCGACCAAACTCGCCCGCCAACAGCGGCAGCGACAGCGGCAGCGGCAGCAGCAGCGGTGACGGCGGCAAAGGCGGTGCACCGAGCCTACTGCTGATGCGTGCATCGGCTCCTGATCACCTTCTAGCTGCTGCCACTCTACGAACGCAGCTGCTTTACGAGTACCCTACTGGTTCTAGACGATCCAACAGCACTTCTGGTTCTACACCCATTCCAGAAGCTCAGTCTGCCGGTAGTGGGACATTTGGTGCAATGGAGGAAGCCATAATAGCAGATACGTATGGCCTTCGTCTTAAGAATGAATTCGACAGGGTACGTAGTTTGTGGTCCCTGCAAATGCTCGGCTCATGGTTGTGTCTTCCTCAAAGCATTATTTCCCTCTGACCCTTATTCTTTCTGCAGGACCTTTCATTCCGTTTAGTGAATGCACATGTCTCGACGTATCTTGCTATCTGTCCGTGGGAACATAAGGTGCATAGAGTCCCGGTTCCTGCAGAGAGGAATTCAACCTCCTTACTGCAAACGCCTCCGCAACTGGACTCTTCGCTAACAACTTTACCAGATGGTGCACCAGGAGGAGTTTATGCTGCTGTTGCGACTCTTGACATTGATGTGAGTAGTACAGTCCATGACTCTCACGTTTTGTTCATCTACGCGATCTTGTCTGTAGAGCATAGGCACGCCATGTTGGCCGTGCATTTGAATCAGCAACCGCAGGGAAGTTACATTCACCTCTTACTATAACTGTTCCAGGGTCATGGGTCCACAAGCACGATGCCGTTCTTTTGTTTTACGAGTCGAGCCTCAGCTCAGTGAACCAATTATTCCCTGATGCTCTCCGCTCTCTTGAATTCGTGATTTACTTCAGATGGCGGAAGAACTTTCTCACATGGGCTCACGGCCATGGGGCCGTGCAATCCATCGTGCCATAGGAGTCGATGCTGATGTCCCTCCAAGTGCCGACAGGATGGAGTCACCACATTCTCAAGCTCTCTCCGAAGTTGCTTCTGGTGGTACTGCCTACGTATTCAATCTTTGTGTGGCTCCAGTCATGCGGCGTCAGGGAATAGCTCGTGGGCTGCTGTCTTTTGCTCTAGACGACTTGCTGGAGCAGAGGGCACCTTCATCAGTTCATGTCCATGTAGAAGTGTGCAACCATCCAGCAGCGAAGCTCTATAGCTCACTTGGTTTCAACTTAGTTCATGAAGAGAGCCTAGAGGATGAGGAAATGCTTCAGCGACCTAGACGGTGTCTACTCTCATTCTACCCTACAAACTAAACACCATTACTGGTACTAATGAAGACGCAGTTTCCAGATTCGGGCCCATGCCGAGCTATATAGATTGCCAGATGGACGATCACATGGACTCAGGAAGAGCTCCTGCTCAATTCCTGCCATCAATGCAAGAGTGGGGCATTAAGATCTTGTGAAGCGGGATCCAGGTCCCTGTGATGCAGATGATCTTTGTTTCTTGAATGTTTGCTGTATTGGTTCAACCACCTGCAAACAAAAAGCAGCATGCAATGAGAAAAAGCATCCAAGGTCTACAGAAGTACCAATGTGTGGAACTTGTTTACGATATTTACCGTGCTGGCTTTGCGGATTCTTGCATTGCTGAAGTTGATGGTGTCCTGGCTTTCTTTCACGAATTCCAGCTCACCAAGCAAGCCAGGTTCAGGTCCCAGCTTCATCTTTTCATAACCTGTTGAGCTGACTTCAGGTGGAGCCTTTCTGGATAACTTCTTGTCCTGATTGTAGGAGACGATTACACATACCGTAATTAGACCGAGGTATAAGATTGACTTTGCATGAGAACATAAGCTTGTATGAGGAGGCATACCTTCGCCAAAGAAGGTGGTTCCTTGAAGCCACTTTCGCTCTTAGCCACTGAAGCTTCCCTTGCTCGAGACCTTGTCATGTCCGAACCCAACGAGCACACCTGAGCCACTGCAGAAGGACTCGCGGTTTTCAGCTGGTCAGCAAGTGGCTTCCTTGTGGAGGGAGATGGGCGAGTGGCGTGTATGCCTCCTTTGGACTCATGCTTTTCGTCCTGCATCCCAGCCTGAATTTTCTTGGAGCGCAGAACCTTCCGCCCTGTGTAGCAGAGTGACCATTGACAGTAATCGGTGAATTTGGAAGCTGCTGGAGAGACACAATTTTCAGATCAGAACGAACCTTTCTTCCTGTTGCTGGCTGCGCTTTCAATGTAGCCTTCAGACCCCATCTGCTCCAATATTTTTTTAACAGCTGCTACAGATGTAGCGCTCCCCAATATTGACTGGAGGTTTGCAATAGTCACATACTCCAGATTGAAGACATGCTCCAGAGCCTGTGTGGTACCGCCCAAGTCAAAACAGAACAGGTTTTGTTCATGCCCTTGGGAACACCTACAGAAGCTATAATCCAATCTGACATCAAAGCAAATGCAAACTTCACCTTGTGATACATCGCAGTGTGCTCATCCGATTCACAGGCATCTGATGCTTTCAAAGGTGGAGCGCTCTGATTCTTCAGGATGGTTTCTTCCTGAAAGCGAAAAAAATAACCTAAGATTTGTGCCAAAGGTGAGCGATTGAAACATGGTGTTTTGTTCTCACCTGACCAACCACATCTCCATGGACTATGGAGTAAAGGTCTGCGTTCACAGCTTTTAACTTTCCTTCGCTAACAAGCTCCTCCATGATTTCTGGGAAGAGAACCCCATTAATTTGCATGAATTTCTGCAAGTTGCATATTGTCTCGCATACCTTCAATGGAGACCTGTAAATGCATCAATCAAAAGTTAGCAGTCGAACATCAAAACCGAACTTTAAATCAACCAAACCCCGTGGTACCCACCAGAGATGCATCCGGAAAGTTGGCAAACACATCCATGACATCAACGGTAATTGTTGGCCTTGATAGAATCCATGACCTGATGAGACTTAGAGATGCAGTCGGAGAAGTGCTCAACAGCTTAGCTGCACATATAGAAGAGTTGGTAAGTGTGCGATGTTTTATTTGAATAAACACATAACAAAAAGGTCTCCACGCACAGGTCTCGTCATCTTGCTTCTTCCCTGGAAGGTCGCCTGCGTCTCTGATGCTTCCCTCCTGGCAGACATGTAAAATCCTTCAATAGGACGAGTAGGACAGTTGAATTGAATGAATCTAGAGCCTGCTGACCTTTTCCCCAGAACCCTTTTCTTCTTCGGATTCTGATGACTGGCCCGAAGTTTCTGTTCCATTACTTTGACTGCCCTGCTGCTCCTCATGATTGTCACATGGATCAAGAACACTCCGTACCTGAACGGCTCAACAACAAGAATCGTGAACATTTGCAAAATAAAAAGGGGAAAAGGGAGAAACAAAACAAAACAAAGCAAATGAATACTCACTTTCAGGGCTATCGAATAGTGTTTGCTGTCAACATCACCAACTTTCATCTTCAGAGGCGTAATAGACCAGTTCAACTTTTCCTTGTCGCCACAGCTTCGGAAAAATGGGGGTTCATAGTCTTCAGGCTGCATTGTCACCAAGTCAGACAGATACTAGGACCTTAGCTCATAACCCAGAGCTTACCGTGACATCCTCGTGATATAGAAGCTTCACAATGATAGTTCTCTGGTACAAAAGAAATCAATTTAATGTCAGTGTCGTTCTTGGTTTTCAACTGGGATCAAGTAAGGTGAACCTCAGGTAGCAAACAGGGCACACCTCAGTTGGAACGTTGTCAAGTGTCCTCATGAGCTGCACGAGCGTCCGAACCAGTTTGCATGCAGAGTTTCTGTGGATGCAGTGACCAGTTTAGCAAAACATACTAGAAGGAAAAGGGGGGGAAATGAAACTAGGAGAAGAAGTGCTTACTTCATTTGTGCTGGAGTCGCATCCGAGCCAACGGATTTGAACGTGGTGTCTCTATCCTTGTTTCCGGACTTCGATATATTTAAAGACACATCCCCAGTCTGAGACGCGTAAGAGAAGTTGACTGCGTGGATAGAAACAGTTTACTTGGTGTTGGTCACAAACGGTAAGAAACAGCGAAAACAACCCACGATCATATTTACATGTATATTCTTCCAAAAGGGACGTTCCATCGGATTCGCATATTGCAAACACCATCGTCTTCAGATATTTCTTCTGTAATGCGTCATAGACACCTGAAATTCCAGCACTGAGGTTAGCTCGTTGCTACAATGATGACGCCGTGTGAAAGTGCAGTGATTTCCCACCTTGTTCCATCCAGTCAATTAGACGCTTCGACTCTGGGTCAACAGGCATGAGCTTCTTGATCTTCATTTCTGCAGAAAGCAGTTGTTGCTAATGCTCAATTCACTCATCTGAGCAATTGTTTTTTTGCCGAAGGATATAGTCTTACCCAGAGCGGGAACATATTTGTCGTCGAAATACTTCTCCGGAAAAAGGCCACGGATATAGCTAATGTTGAATACAGCAATGCGTAATAGGTTTCTTGTCAGTTGCAAAGACTCTTTCTCGGAAATATGGGTCGCCTCGCGTGTCCTTGCTGCTTGCGCGACCACCTGCCACAAGAACCGTTGAAGCAAGGTGGACAGGAAACCTACGCCATACCATTTGTTTCCAATGGAGAAAGCCTACCATGGTGCGGCTGTGAGCGTGGTGACTGAAACGCGCAAGGCAGTTGCTAGTCCTCGAACGAACGAGCAGAAACGAGGGCACTGACTTCAAAATGAAATGATTAGTGAAAATCGTTTGAAAACTGTTTGGTATCGCATCGCCTTGAACAGAATTGAAAATTCCTTCTTGAAAGCTGTTTGGGTATGGTGGTGGGAATGCCGATGACTTTCTTACAATATGTACAGAACTCAAATATCGGAACAAGAGGAGCATAAACATTATTTCATATGGATTGTACATTCTAGACAGGTAAATTTCAAATCCATACCTACATCAGTTCTGTTTTTTTGGGTTGCAAAGCAACCTATTACGATCGTTATGTACATTTTTTTTCATCCTCTTTACTCAATAAAGGATGAAAAAAATCTAGTGAACGGTAGCTAAGTGAAGTGACTGACTACTATGTATTTGCCAAGTCAATTTACCACGAGCCGAACCACATTCCTTCTCATTTCCTAGTTTGCTTTGACTGAACCTATATTTCATGAGTTGCCAAAATGATGTACTGTGAATGCATAACTGTTTATTCCGTGATGCATATGCCGGATGATGTTATGTGTAGATGAAGTAAATGCAAAATGCATAAATACAATGCATGTGCTACTGTGGTAGCATGAATGCATAGGGTAGCATGATGGAAATGCGTAAAAGTTAATTGACCCAGACTCTATGCTACCGCATCCCTTGCCTAGCATGGGGGGGAGCTCAATAGCATAGTTCCTGAATCATCCAACTGCCACATGAAACAACACAATCTGTGTGCTCTAAAAAAAGGGTCAAATCTATCAAATCCAGTTCAAATGGACACACTCGCTGAGTGCACAAAGAACCGTCTCGGAAATGATAGTTTGATCCCATTTCTTAAAACCTACAGACATGTGTTATTAATGCAACGGAAACATGAATGAAAGAACATACGGTACGTACACTGTGAAAATAGAAACGAGAATAAATGAACTATGAATGAAGTCGGTACAAGTACTAACCCTAATTGGGTTGTACCCTCTATGGGATACCCCACTACAGCCTACACAAAAGTATAAGCTATAATGTTCTGACACACCCCCATAGGCAAAGTGGGGGAGAACAAAGGGGTCACAAGACCGGTCAAGCAAAGCAAAGCAAAGCAAGCTCAGGGTGGATCACAACGTCACCACACAGTCCGAGCACAAGTTCAAGGCCACAAGGCCAGTTCACATGCAGGAGTACATATATATATAAGGCTAGACAAGCAAGAGCAGGTATATATATATGTTACAGTATAAACAAGGTCAAGGGGTGAGCAAGTGAGGCAAGACAGGGACAAGGCCCAGCTGAGTGCAGAAGCGCTGATGATCACAAGGCGGAAGTGCCTTGGTGAAAACATCAGCAGTGTTGGCCTCAGAGGCCACGTACGCAAGCCGCAACTGACCACGCTGCTGTAGCTCACGAGCAAGGAAGTAGCGAAGAGCAATGTGCTTTGTTCTGTGCTCCAGGCGCTGCTCTCGACACAGAAGACGAGCGAGTAGCCCGCCACGAAACAGAGCCGGAACCAAAGCTGAAGGTGTAACCCTGTGACGACCGCTGCGTAGCCTGGTCGTCAGCCCAAGAAGCGTCCGCGTGCCCAGTGAGGACCACTGGACTCTACCCTCCAAGCACTAGCCCCATGCCCGACGTACTGCACAAGTAGCGCAACACCCTCTTCGCTGCAGCCATGTGCTCTGGTCAGTGTCTCCCAGGAGCAACATAGCGTGCAAGAGTGCTAAGAGGGTATGCAAGGTCAGGTCGTGTGCAGGTCATCAGGTACATGAGGCAGCCAACAAGCTCTGGGTACGGGCCACTCGACTCTACGGACTCATCCGAAGGCAGAGCTGAGAGTGAGTGGCGAGTAGGCAGAGGAGTGGCCTGAGGCGAGGAGTACGTGAAGCCGAAGCGCTGAAGGACCTGCTGCACCATGTGTGACTGAGTCAGGGTAATGGTGCGGCGTGCTCTGTCCGGGGTGATCTGCAAGCCAAGGTAGCTGCGCAGTTCACCCAGGTCTGTGCACGTGTGTCTCTTCTGCAGCTCGGACTTCACGTAGGCGAGTCCAGCATTGTCAGCTGTGGCAAAGACCAAGTCGTCGACGTACACGACGATGTAGAACGGCGGCAGAGAGGTGTCGGTGCGTAGAAACAGCGACGGGTCGGCAGTAGAAGGAGCAAACCCAAGAGCCGCAAGCGTAGTCCTCAGTGTGTCGTGCCACTCACGTGGCGCCTGGCGGAGACCGTAGACTGGACGCCGGAGACTCCAATGGGTACCAGGGGGGAAAGACCCAGTGAAGCCAGGTGGGCGGCGCAGCCAGATCTCCTCGTGCAGGCTGCCCTGCAAGAAAGCTGTGCTGAAGTCGAGAGAGTGCAGCTCGTAGTCACGGTGAGCAGCAACGTGCAGCAGTACCCGAAGAGTGGTCATCTTCGGGGTGGGGGAGAAGGTCTGAAAGTAGTCAACTCCTTGCCGCTGACTGAAGCCACGAGCCACGTAACGCGCCTTGAAGACAGGCGGAGAACCCGGCGGCCGCTTCACCCTGAAGATCCACATGCCACTGACGATGTTCGCCCCAGGAGGGGGAACAGCGTCAACGTAGGTGCCTGTGGACTTCCAGGAAGCCATCTCTGCATCCATAGCTGCCTGCCACTGAGAGGAGTAGGGACCCTCTATCGCCTCCGCGTAAGAGCGCGGAGTCGGGATGTCAAGTGCATCCGGGTCTCCCTCAGGGGTTAGCAGTACGGACACGAGATGAGGTGAAGCAGCTGCCAGACACTGGAACTCCTCCTGCCTGTCCTCAAGGACGTCCGTGCCAAAGGCACACTCACCCCCGACAGACGGAGGACAGACAGACTCAGACTCAACGACAAGACTAGCAGCGTAGTCCAGGCAACAGCGAGCAGCAAAGTCGACGAGCTCAGCAACTAGGGCAGACGCAACAGTGGACTCGAAAGAAGGGTCAGTGACGACAGTAGTAAGGAGACGCGTGACAGTAGGACTGGCAGCACGAAGAGAGTCCGACTCCGGGTCGGCAAGAGCAGGAAGAGAGGACTCAGGAGGAGAAGGCAAAGGGGCACGAAGAGGAGCAGTAGACGGACACAGAGACATCCTGTGCGTGCAAGGGACAGGAGGAGCATGCGGACGCAAACCACGACCACTAGCGCGAGCAGGACGGACAGGCGACGTAGGGCGAGACGCAGGCTCACGACGCTCAGCAAGACCTCTAGTAGGACCAGCGTAGGGAGAAGGAGCAGGCAAAGGGGAGGCAGGCTGCAACTGTAACAGTGACGGAACAGGCTATTGACACTCTAAGGGAGGAGGAGGACCAGTAGAAGATGGAAGACCAAGAACCTGCTGCAGGAGCGGAACGAAGTACGGTCGAGGCCGCGTGGCGACGCAAGAAGCAGCAGGGACAGCACCAGTACCCCCTGCAGGAGCACTCGCTCCAGTAGCACCTCCAGCAGCGCCAGAACCTCCAGCAACACCAGGAGTACCCGCAGCAGGACCGCCAGCAGTAGTCTCAGCTCCAACACCCTCAGCAGCACCAGCTCCAGTCGCACCCGCAGGCCCAGCCGCTTAAGTACTCCCAGTACGAGCACCTCTGGGACCCGCAACAGCAGCACCCTCAGTAGCCGAAGAACCTCCAGCACCAGCAGAACGCCTCCAGCGCCGGGCAAACCACTCGCGCAGCTCCTGCGGAGAGAGTGGCTCCCGCAGAGACGAAGCACCCGGAGAACCTCCAGGCGGAGCACCTCCCGGCTCAGCACCCCCAGGCGTAGCACCCCCAGACTCAGCACCCTCAGGCTCAGCACCCCCAGGCTCAGCACCCCCAGGCATAGCACCCCCAGACTCAGCACCCCCAGGCTCAGTACCCCCAGGCTCAGCACCCCCAGGCGTAGTACTCCCAGGCTCAGCACCCCCAGCCTCAGCACCCCTAGGCTCCGCACCCCCAGGCCCAGCACCCTAAGGCTCAACATCTCCAGCAGGACCAGAGTCACCAGTGACCTTGATAGGCTCGACTGCGTCTACTTGGGACACACCTGAAAGGGCAGGACCCTGAGGGGGGAGGGGGTCTACCTGGGGGGGACCTGGTACAAGGAAGAGCGGGGGCAGGGGGAGGGACGGAGTGCGGTAGGGGAAGAGGTGGTAGTAGGGGACCGACTCGTCGAACGTGATGTCCTGTGAGGACAGAACACGGCGATAGGTGGGGTGGTAGAACTGCCACCCAGGCGCATCAGGGGGGAACCCCAGGAAGACGCAAGGAGCAGCACGAGGGGACAGCTTGTCCGCAGACAAGTCGCGGACAAACGCCTGAGATCCCTAGACCCGGAACGCCGACGCATCGCCAACCTTCCCCGTCCACAGCAAGGCTGGGGAGGTCTCCGGCCTGGAGACCCTGGGGTGAAGGTTGATCTGATGCGCCGCGTACCTCACCGCAAACGGCCACAGAAAATGGGGGGCAGCCGCATGCATCATAGACGTACGGGCGACGTCCATGACCATGCCAATGCAGCGCTCAGCAATCCCATTTTGCTGCTGAGAGTCCGGAAGCGTGAATGTCTGACGGATGCCTCGTGCACGACAGTAGGCTCACAGAAGGCCAAAGGAGAACTCTCCGCCTCTGTCAGAGTGCAGACGCAGAACAGGAAAGTCCGAGCCAAAGCTCTGCCTGAGCTGGAGACGAGCTGCGCGGATCCAGTCGATCAGCACCTCAGTGACATCACCCTTGCTGCGCAAGGGGAAGACTGTGGTGTAACGCGAGTAGTCGTAAACAACGAGCAGGAACTAGCGCTCGTGACCCTATCCACGGACGCGGGTTGGGCCCCACACGTCCATGTGAAGCGTCTGCAACGGGGCCTCTGTCGGAGGAAACTGGGAGGAGTCAGGGGCAGCACGCTGGCGCCCCTCGATACAGGGGACACAGGTAGGGCCAGGGCCCTGAGGAGGGGGAGGGAGGGACCGGG